GTTTCAGGAGAGCCATAAGAATGGGTGCGTTCAGAGTTCTACCAGTAGTACCAACTTTCAATATACCAATGGTGCAATAATTTGACAACGGTACCAATTGTACAAATAAACCCTGAACGGGTATTGGCATACAAATGTATTGATTTTACCAATGTTACCAATGGGAGTCCAATGGAAACATTGGTAATACTTGATTTTACCAATGTTACTAATGGGAGTCCAATGGAAACGTTGGTAATACTGATTTACAGATTTGTAAACATGTCAAACAGCAAACACCTTGTTGCTGCCCTAATTATACAGCAACAACATTTTCATCATATGTTGAACCTGTCTATCCATCATCTGCACAGCTCAGATTTAATAACTAATCTGTACAAAGAAAGGTCAGATTCCATAACAAGAATTTGCAACTACTATGAGATTACCATTCCTCAATACTCTATTGATGACAATACTCTATTGATGACTTTAAAATGCACTTTCGTCTCACCAGGGAAACTTTTCAATCTACAATTGCAAGACTTATTCGGTCTAAAGAATATACTAAACTTACAGGCCCACAACCAAATCTGGAAAAAGAACTACTTATGTTTCTTTGGTATATTGGTATATCGCCATGTCAATAAATAGTTGTGATGTCATTTACCAATATTTACCACACTCTAGATCGTCTGCAGAAAAATATACCATTGGCAAAAAACATTGGTACCACTGGCATGCCAATGGTAATTAATTTTACCAACAGCAACTTTTGTCTACCAACGGCAGAACTATGAACGCACCCATTGTCTCTAGGGACAGCAGTAGCTGCAGAACTGTAGCGTTATGGTTTTATATTTTAGTCTTTGACCATAACACTACAGATCCCATAATGTAAATTGAGTGCAATATATGGCGCAAGATTTCTGTGCACTTTGGGGATGTATTTCGCCACTTTCCAGCATTGGTCAATCAACGACCTTTCATCCCCTAATTCTAGACATATTCTGTAACCAACCTTTATATTTTATCCATCTCCTAATGGTTTATAGTCGTTATAATATACAGGTTGGTTATAGAGTATGTCTAGAATTAGGGGATGAAACGTCGTTGACTAATGCTGTAAAGTGGTGAAAAACATTCCTATAGTGCGCAGAAAATCTTGTAAATTGCACTTTATTTACACCACGGGATCTGTAGCATTATGCTCAAAGACTATGGTCAAAGACTAAAATATAAAACCATAAAGCTACAGTTCTGCAGCTACGACAGCAGTAGCAAAACACAATATGATTTTTTTTATGTTCTTTATAACGTTAAAGGCATATCACTTAAATGAATTATAAATAGGATCATATTTAAATAAGTTACGTATACACATATGATTTTATTATTGACATTATTAATGTTATTTAATTTGTATGATGGTGCGACTGTTAGGGGGAGCAGAATTGTATATTTATTACTGGATACGTTGTGTACTCTTTTAACTTGGATCTGCCTCTTCAAACTGCACAAGACTCAGTCTAGACTGTGATGTTGCATGACATTGTATGATTGTTGTATATCCATATAATGTAGTCTAAAAAGTGCAATTTTTTTAACAGCAATACTATGCTATCTATTTGCAATTTTGATTAGAGTAATGTGAGTTGCTGTTTTCATTTACGTTTTCTTTGGTTCTTGTAAGAAGGCAGTTTGGCAGTGAGAGGTTTGTTCAGAGGTTACTGCAGAAAAGTTTTTATTGGATCAATGTGCAGTAGTCTGAATTTTCTCTTTGCATAGGCATTGTTGCAACAGCTCGCAGTGCAAGTGCCACTCACTGTGCTTGCAGTGCAAGTGCCACTCACTGTGCTCGCTATATTTATTTGAGATATGGAAGTTTGAGATAACAAAGTGTACTTAAAATGTTAGTTTGATATTTATACTCATCCAAATTGACTCATAAAATTTCACTGACAGGTCATTCCTGTGAGTTTTATAGAAACTCTTTCAAATAAAAGTGTACAGATTGAGGACATTGATGTGACATTGTAGCTAAACCTTGGAAAAATGGATATCCTGATATAGAGTGGCAAATAAGAATAATATTAATGTAAGAAAATTCTGAGCATGTAATTATTTGTTAGGGCTACTGCAGTTGGTGTATACACTAGCCCGAAGGGCATGTGCTGATAAAGAGATTCGGTGAAGACTGGGCAGGTTAGGTACCGGGTATATGTAATCTACCTGGCCCCAAGACCATAAACTGAGAACAGACTTAAGTCAAAATTTCAAATCAATATAACTTTTGAAATAATTTTGATAATGGAACAAAATTTTCATCATATGTTTACACTGGAATATTAAACAAACCTGCAAATTTTTAAGTATGCATGTTGAATAAAACTCAAGATATTCAAAATCAAAATTTTGACTTTAGTATGTTCTCAGTTTATGGTCTTGAGGCCTGGTCACCAAGAACATTGCAGAGAGCTAAGAATGTCAGTGCTCAGTAAAACTGTTAAAGTTTGTGCATTGCCAGCTGCATTGACACCCTTTCCTTCTCATGATAATAAAATCTTTACGATGAAAAAAATAAAGACGATTATAGTCAATTATCTCTCAACTCTTTTTCAGGTTTTTTTCAAAGATGAGGCTGTAAGACAAGTGAACGTTCCCACAACAAATGGAGTGTTTGGTATTCTACCTCAACATGTACCAACGCTCGCTGTCTTACAACCTGGTGTTGTTACGGTGGTTGTTAATGACTCAGACACTAGGAACATATTTGGTAAGTCTGAACATACCTGTTTTCAAAGCAAAGATTTCTGAATTATTTTGAAAGCTATGAAAATTGTACATCTAATACGTATACTCTCAATATTAAATACAGATTTTTGAAAATGAATTATATGATTATAATAAAAACATACAGTTATGTTATTGTCTTTTTCTTTGTGTGTACAGCCAGCAGTGGTTCTCTGACTGTGAACCCTGATGGATCTGTCCATGTTTTAGCAGAAGAGGCTTGTGAACTCTCAGACCTGGACCCCTCAGTAAGTACAGTTACCAGAGAAAAATAGGGTAAACATGTCATATCAGTAAATCACAGACTGGACCCCTCAGTAAGTACAGTTACCAGATAAAAATAGGGTAAACATGTCATATCTGTAAATCACAGACTAGACCCCTCAGTAAGTACAGTTACCAGATAAAAATAGGGTAAACATGTCATATCTGTAAATCACAGACTAGACCCCTCAGTAAGTACAGTTAGCAGATAAAAATAGGGTAAACATGTCATACCTGTAAATCACAGACTGGAACCCTCAGTAAGTACAGTTACCAGATAAAAAAAAGGGTAAACATGTCATATCAGAAATAGGGTGAACATGTCATATCTGTAAATCACAGACTGGACCCCTCAGTAAGTAGTTACCAGAGAAAAATAGGGTAAACATGTCATATCTGTGAACTCTCAGACTGGACCCCTCAGTAAGTACAGTTAGCAGATAAAATAGGGTAAACATATCATATATGTAAATCACAGACTGGACTCCTCAGTAAGTACAGTTACCAGAAAAAAAAGATAGGGTAAACATGTCATATCTTTGAATCACAGACTGGAAACTTAGATATTTATGAATAAAATTAAATCCATGTACATGTATAGTTGAACATGTCTGCAAACATTACAAATACTGAAACTGACAAACTGATGCATTTTTATTTTGAGTCCTTGTTTAGGGAATCCTCTAAACAATTTTTTAACCTTTGATTTTACCCTTGATAGGAGGCTCGTGATGCAATGCACAAGGCCCAGACTGCCAGAGACGCAGCAGTGGAGGCAGTAGACAAGGCCGAGTTTCAGATTGAGGTCGATGCTTACGAGGCCATCCTTAAGTCAGCAGAGTCTAAGAGTTAATTTGTTAAGTAATTAGTGACTGACATTTAAAAGTTTATACAAAACTATGTACAAGAAGTATAGTTTGTGATCATTTCAGTGATATTTAAATAAATAACATCACATTTATTACACGCCTTGATTTTGTGTTGTCTGTCTGCTAATACAGAGCAGGAAACGTTTTACATGTAGGTTTCTAAAGTTTACAAAAGAAAAATTGTTCCAAAAGAATGCCCCAAAGTAGCCCCAAACTTGGTGCGGTTTTTATTGGCGTATTGATAAATTTTGTTCAGATTCATGTCACATTTTTTGACAATACCTACCTTTATGCCAAGTGCTAACAAACTTATCTCAAGAGTCCATGGTATAGTGAAGGACAGACAAGGATTTCCATCCCTCTGACATTTCCAAACGAACAGTCGTTAAAATCATCTGATCATACCTAACTTTGGATTAGTATGAGAGTCTAAAGTTTCTCAAGTACAAAGTTAAAAGAGTTGGCAAGAAAAAAAAATCCTTTGAGTTGTGACATACCTCAGGCCTCTGATCATGAGCTAGGTTGTGCAAGGTTGAAACATCAATGTTACTTTCAAAAGGAGATGGGTGAACAAGGCGTGCAGAATGCCTATAGCTCCATATATTTAAAAATTATATTCAATTTGTGAATTTAATATTGAATGTAAAGTTCTCATTATTAAAAAATCATGAATTTATGATAAACAAAACTTTTCTGAGGAAAATTTTCTTGGCAAAAATTATTCTGTAATTGAAAAAAAATAATGTGGTATTCATGGGGTTCGAACCTTAGCAATAAAAATCCTTAGTATCATTTTTCTTTGAGACTAACACGCTAACCACTACACTACACAGCTCCTGATGAATGGTGGCATTTAAATCATGCTTGTGATTTGACCCTTGACTAAATGGACTTAAAGTATTTCTTCGAACGATGCGAATGTAGTCTCATAAAAGTATATTTTTAATGTATAGTGGGTCATTGCTCCATGTTTGTCGCATTATATGCATTTTGCATTTTGCTCGCTGTCAGACAAAGAACAGTATTCTACTTGCAAATATCACCTCTCAGTCAATCCTCCAATATAAACCAAGCCTTAAATTCACAGATACTCCATCCCTGACACTAGAAAGAAATACTAATAAATCTGCATGGTAAATTGGTTTATTTTCAGTTTTCCATCAATAACAAATATTTTGTGATCACAATATGTAAATTAGAGTAATGTGAATACAATTGGTGTTCAAAAATACATAAGAAAAATAAAAGGTTAAACAATGCCAACATTGGACAGTGGTAAAAATGACAGATGTTATAATTATCTCCTGATTATTAATTAACTTTGAAACACAAGAGTGGGAAAACAACAATCTTGGACTGTGCATTTTTACTGGGTTTGATGGAGAGTTGCATAGTGAAATCATGAATGGTGAATATTGGGATTCATTTCAGCATTAAACATCTTCCAGAAAGCATTTACAAGGTACATAGTGCCCAAATATTCCAGTCTATGTTACCTGATGCTAAAACAAATACCAAAAACTTGATTAAAATTCTGTTAAGCAGTGTTAGGTACCAGTATCTGTAGAAGAAATGTTTCCTGGTTTGCCCACAATCCATGGATTTGCAATTTGCCCTAGATTTAACAATAATAACTGTATAACAGTTACAAAATAACATTAAGCACTTCTGAAGCACTTATTCATACACGTATATCAATAAACATTCATTCAAAAAAAAAATCTCCCCTTCTGTCATTCCAACATTTGGAAAAAAGCATAAACACTACACAACAAGTTATAGTGTTATGAATTACATGTTTTACAGAGATCAAAAAGAATGTAGAATAGTCATGTATTGTACAACTTTAAATCGTACAAAGTACACAAGACAAAATGAAGTTGTAAATAATTCCAGTGCTGAGAAGTCAGCACAGACAAGGTAGGAGTATTTCTCCCTCAGGAACCCTTGTATGCCTAAACATCAACAAGTAATATTTTACTGGAATAGAGAACGAAATCTTGACTATGAGGAATGAATACCTAGACATCAACTAAGAGTTTTCAGGAACATAGCAAAAACAAATCTTTTTCAAATCAAGTTTAAAAATCATTTGCTGGTACACCGACAATAAAATCTACACAGTCCTCTGTTGACGAGAGCAGAAAATTAATAAACCCACAGGGTATGACATGCAAAAACTAAAGCCTTTTCATTCAGTGGAAATTCTACTCATGTCTTGCAAACTTTACAGATTTAGTCATTAAAGGACTTATTGCATGTTTCTAAATTATTTGAAATTAAAAGTGTAAAACGTTCCTTATGACCACAGCTTATAAATTTTGTGTTTTTACAGCGGATAAATCGCGGTAATTAACCAATTATTGACTCAAATGAAACCCCCTGAATTAAAAATCTAAATTAATTAGATAACGATCACGTGACCCTGTGATGTCAAAGGCGACAATGGCTGATCAGTTCCTCGCGTTAATCTTACTAAAATGTACGTAATACAACCTGAATTTTCTACGTTATGAACGACCAAATCACTGATTTTATCGATATGAATTTGAATATCCAACCTTATATTTTAGAATTGTTATGAAGAAAAAATCTGAGAAATCTGTTAACATTGTAAAAATAGCAGCGACAATAGCGAGGGAGACGCGGCGAAGACGAAGAAACTCGCCATCACAATACAATTTGATTTGTCATCTTATCACATGTATGAACTTTTTTGATTCACAAATTTAATGTTATATAACTTTGTTATTCTTCGTTTTTAATATAATAATTTATGCAAGTATGCCTTCATATGTTTTGTAAAGGATGGCGATCTTGAAATTTTTTTCCCGATCACGGCGAAACATTGCCGTAATCAGACCTACAGATGCTAAATATTTGGAATAAAAAATGAAAATATCTCAAAAGTCTTATAGCTTAGAACTAGTTAATGTTTCTATAGTAATTGAAAAGCACGTTAGGAATTATTTTTTTCAGCATTTTTCGTAATTAAGCTGCATTTGTCCTTGATAACTCCATAAATAGTGTGCAACTTCTCATCTCTATATCACTGAATTGTCGCCTATGACGTCAGAGCAGTATTTTGCCGAAATCCGACTGAAATATGCATATTGCCGTATTTGAATTTCAACTCTCAATATCTCTTAAAATATGCTTTCAACAACGTTTATTGTATTCAGTATTTTAATAAACAAGGTTGTAGATAATATTTTTCATAAAATTAAGATTTTTGAAAAATCATGCGATAAGTCCTTTAATTCTCCAGATTAAGTAAGAATTAACTCCATCTGAGATGCATCATTTCTAGGTTAGAATTGGTTGTATTCTGAGAGGCTGTCCAGATTTGAGTCTGAGATGCATCATTTCTATGTTAGAATTGGTTGTATTCTGAGAGGCTGTCCAGGTTGTCGAATTTAGTCACTGGGATCACATTCTTCTCTGATCCTTCAACCATACTAGTTAAGGAGTAAGGCTCTGCTATCAGCTGGAAAGAAGAATTCTAAATGTACATCCAGTATAAAAACAAACAGGGGTCCATGGGCTACATCACTCAGCTGAGCATTTTAGCTAGGGAAAAGCAGAAAGCGGTTCAGTATTGAAAAGTTTAAATATATAAGTGCCCCCCACTCCACACACACAGAGGGGCAGCAGAGGAGGTTATGATTTAAACAAGTTTGAATCTACACTACCTGAGGAAGCTTCCATATGACTAAATGGCCTTGCTGTTCTTGAAGATTATTAAAAGATTTTTCCTATGTATTCCTATGTAAAATTTTGATTGTCCATTGTGGTCCCACCCTACCCCCAGGGGTTATGGTTTGAACAAATATGAATCTACATTACCTGAGGATGAATATGACTAATCATGGCTTTGCTGTTGTTGAGAAGAAAATATTTAAAGATTTTTCCTATATATTCCTATGTAAAATTTTCATCCTCCATTGCAGCCCCACCCTAGCCCTCTGGGGTCATGTTCTGAACTAACTTGAATCTACACTACTTGAGAATGCTTCCATATCAGTATTATTAAACATGGCTTTGCTGTTTGAGAAGAAGATTTTTTCCTATATATTCCTATGCAAAAACTTCAATCCCCCATTGTGGCCCCACCCTACCCAGGTGGTCATAATTTGAACTAACTTGAATCTACACTATGTAATGAAGGTTTCACATAAGTTTCAACTTTTTTAACCCAGTGGTTCTTGAGAAGCAGCTTTTAAAGATGCCACTAAATTTTCACTAATTCTTAATTATCTCCCCGTGAAAGAGGGTGTGGCCCTTCATTTGAATAAATCTGAATCCCCTTCACCCAAGGATGCTTTGTGTCAAATTTGGTTGAAATTGGCCCAGTGGTTCTAGAGAAGAATAAGTTTACAGATGGAATGTGATCAGAAAAGCTCCATTATTAATATGAACATCAGTTCTTTGAACCTCAGAATCAACTTTAGTGTCATAGAACTTTAAATCACTTTTTATTTGCAAGACTTAATTTTCATGCAATTACATGAGATCTTCCACTTGCAAAAATTTCATTCCCACATATATTTGTATAATAAAAGATTTTATAAACAATAATCAAAATTTCGTAGAAATTTTGTCTCGCTTATAAATACCAAATAACTATCTCAGGAAAATAAAGTTTTCATGAAAATTTGGTGATCTACATTAAATGTATATTCTGTATATATACTCTGTATAAAATGATGTACATTCATGTATATGTACCTTATTTATTTTGAAATCTTCAAAAAGTTCCTGTACAAATCTCCTGGCATTTAATCTGAATGAACATATGGATAAAAGGTGGCAAACTTCCGAGTAAAAACAAACGTCCTTGAACACTGCAGGAAACTTCTGCTTCAGCCTGATTTAAAAGGAGAAAAAATAATACCTTGGAATAAATTCTGTCTTATAAAAAGCATTCATAAACATTTCAGAACAATGTAACATAAAAGAAACTGAACTAGCATACTGCAATTCACATTTTACGTATTTTGCAATTGCTTCGCCTACAAATTCATAGCATCAATGAATGATGGACAAGAGAACTCCAATATTTGTACATGTTTATAAGCATGTAAAATGTTTCTGTACAAGTATATTCATGTAAATTTATGAAACAATAAATTACTGACATAAAATTTTAGCAATTTAGAAAATTTGTTCTATCAAAAGTAAGTCACTCACTGCTTTGTGTATTGTTAAACACATAACAATAAATGGTAAAATCTCATTCAAAATGAAAGTCAAATTAAGAAAACGAAGCCTTACATTAGCAGTCCCTGCTCAGAGCCCTTAAGCCCGACAGAGCTACTCAGGTTGATCACCAGTTTTCGGAGTTCTTTTCTGATCAGGCCTTTCCCGTGAACATTGTCATAAGACATCTTTACTGTCACTGTAAGTCAACATTGTTTAACAATCATAAAAATATTCTAATCAGAATTTCAACCCCAAAAAACAAAAACATTGTAGAGAGGAATTATTTCATACAAGATCATAAACAGCTTTTGAAATAAGGATTTCCATTTTATTTTGATTTATTGTTTAAAATGCATGTACTTCTTTGATTGTATCTGCAGTGAAAATTGCAATGGTTTTATTTCCAGTTTGTTTTGAAAGGCAGTATTTCATTGGCTTACAAGAGTCGGAGCTTGTACAGCTTGTAACACTTCCTGGAGTGGCAGAGGAGGGCTCATTAACACTGCTGTGGCGGGGTCGTGACCCCTTTTGAAGTTTGATGGCAGCATTCAAACTCCCAGGGTCTTTATCCAAGGACACTGGCTCAAGATCCCCATCTTCTTGTGAACCTACAAATATTAATCAGATAATTGAATACACAGATTTTCAGTCATAACAGACAAAAAATATAAAGGCATCTTAATATCCATTTTCTCTCTAATTCAACAATGTCACCTTACTTTACAGATTTCACGACCAATTTAAATGGATATCAATAATACACAGAATGAAGCATTCTTTATAATGAATACAGGTATGAATGTAGAACATGAAAAAGAAGACATCTTCAATTGGGCAACTTCTCATTTATCTGACACTAAGGCACATACCTTCCTCTATTTCTGATTGACTGATATCTTGGCGTTTAAGTTGAGAACACAGCAGACATACTGTTGAGTCATGTTCAAAGCTCTCCAAAGCAGGCACAATCCTAGATGACTTCCTAGATCCTAAATTAATAGGATATATTTTTGAAATAAAAATTCAATATCATGAACTACAATTTCCTCTCTAACCTCTTGGATTTGATTTAAGATTGACTTTGACTGAATTAAGAAGTATTTATATCATAAATGTAGATACAAGTTACTCTAGTTTAAAATTATCAGCATTTTAAATCTTTCATCAAGAACTTCCTTTCTAACAGAACTACATGTAAAATAATGATTACTTCATGTCAGAATTACAAGTAAAATAAAAATTACTCCTTGTCAGAATTAAATGTAAAATAATGATTACTCCCTGTCAGATTACAAGTAAAATAATGATTACTTGGCTTCTTTTTCTGCTCCTGATAATTCTCTTCTTTCTCTACTGGGGCAGCCTCAGATCTCTGATCCTCCCCTGCATGAACCTAAAAATGACAGATTTTATTATTTTATACTGACATAAAGGTTTTCATTTTTTAAAATATCTGCACAATTTGATTAATTAGAAGAAAAAATTCCTCTCCCTCACCTGGAACATCATGTTAATGTCTACTGGCAGGGTAAGACCCAGGAATTCTGCTTCTCCTGTGTGTGGCCTCCTCTGTAGAAGGATAGCTTTAGGGGCCACCCCATAGGGAGTTCCAGCTCTCTCCTGGTCTGATAGAGATACACTGCTGGCGTTACGTGGAATCCCAGAACTAAATCACAACAAAAACACAAACATCATGTACCAATCAATTCAAATATACAAATGAACTTTGATCATAAGCTGACTTGAGTCTTGGGCTCATGTAGGCTTAAAATAAAGCTAAAAAAATATAATTTTTTATGTACATGTGTATTATCGCAATGTATAAAGTGTACACTATCAAAGAGTAGATTTCAGATAAATATATACATTTGCTTGCAACATCAAATGACTTACCTTGAACGAAAAGTAAATGTGTCAATGCTCTTTTTGGACTCAATACTGTTTTTTCTTATCATCTCATTCCCTTCCTCTTCTCCGTAAAGAGAATTAAGACCCATGTCTGACTCCACATCGGAACTGATCCTGCGCTGACGCTTGATGGATCGCCACGTTGCATATCCCATTGCATCCCGTGACGTGGTGTACATGATAGCACTCTCTGTTGTCATTCCCTCTAGTAACTGAGCTGAAGGCAGAATACCATATGCTGGACTGGCTTGTTTATTTCTAAGACTTGGCACTCGTTTTAGATTTAAAGATTTTCGTCGGAATGAAGATGGATGAATGAGGTCTCTGGCATCTGAACTACCAGTGACCCCTAATGTGTCTATAGAGCTAGTACTGGCGATAGGACTAAGGGACATAAATTCCGATGAAAGACAGGTGTGTGGGCCAGACTCACAAGAACTGACCCCACTAGTAGTGGAATCTGTGTTAAAACTATCCGCACGACTTTTATTACTGGTCCGCGAGCTATCACTACTGCTACATCTACCGTCCCGCAGGTTTGGTGATTTTTTTAATGACTGATTCGTCAGAGTCTTTGTCTCTGAGGTGTCTGATTTTTCATCACTATCTTTGACACTGAAAGAAATTCCTTCCCCTTCATCATCCATTGCACTAAAGTTATCACAGATAGGAGCTTTACTGTCCACATCCTCTGTCATGGAACCCTCAAATGTTCCAGAGTCCATGTCTGATAAACATATCACAGGAATATTTTTTGGACTTTCCTTTTTTTCACTTCCTCTAGATGAATGTGACTTGTTCGATAACACATCCTCAGTCTGTCTGGATGGTGAATTCAATCGTCTTGTCATCAGTCTATGATCATCGCGAATAATTCTGTCCCGATCATGATGCCCTAAAGAGTAACTTCTTATATTAGCAGTCCTACTTGGTAGGGACTTGTACCTCTTATGAAAAGCGATTTCATTGGGTAATGTTTTACTCCTCTTTGGAATGAACATAGAAGCCTCAATATTTGAGTTTTGATCACAGCTGTGTATAAGTCCCGACTCACAACCTTGGTCTAAAGCTGAATTCTCCTCCTCAATAAAGAAAAGACTGGATGATAAAATGCCAGGAGAACTAGCTCCCCGAGACTCCAGTTCACAGCGTCCATTATCACTATCCTGGAGTTCCGTCAGAAGTTCTGTCCGGTCCTCTACCACCGGCCACCGATCCTCCCGTGTGTGCCAGCAAGACTCCCAGCCCAGCTGGGTTAAGTATTCAGCTCCCTCCCTTGTACTGGTCAGAAGTCCCAGGACGTAGAAAGCTGTTCTATTGAAGAAAAAAAAGGAATCTTTATGTGTTAAATGAAATCAGAAATAACTTTATCAAAATTTAATTATTCTGCAAACTATGCAAGTGTCTTTGACCATGTACTTGCAGTATACATGTACTTCTTAGAGTTAATACATCCGGTGCAATGAAAATACAAATTTACACTTATCAGCTGATATGAAATAAAATAATACCCTCGTATAGAAAAGACCCCACACTCCTCAGCTAGTTTTATGATTTCTGGCAAGAGTCTTTCTTCTTCCAACCAGTTGACACCCCAGGTAGATGTCCCAATATGGCCCTAAATAACAACCCAAAAATTGAGTAGATGTTCAATTAAAGCATTACACAACAAAATTATTTGTTGTCAACTGCAGACCTTAATTAAGAAAAAAAACAAGAGGCCCAAGGGCCTTAACGGTCACCTGAGCACAATACAACAATTTAGAGGATCCATAGAGTATTAAAATGAAATGAAAGGTGAAGCTTTGTTGCCCAAAAGCAAGAAAAATAGGGTGATCAGGATCAACAAAATAATTAGTCTACTATTCATTAACAGTTCATAAATTAGGTTCTAATCTGTTCCCCATTTATCACTATCACCATACAGTATATTAACAAACTATCAGTGCTTTTGTACTATTTTAATTTCTTGTTGTAATCTCTTACATTGGCCTCTCTTGGTCTTTGATGAAAACTATGAAAATACTTTTTGTATTATACAATAAAAATTCTTGGATAATTCTCTTATTCTATTAATTTTTCAAGTACATTATTTACAATGATTAATTATCAAAAGTAAACGGCAAAGGGGAATAACTCCTCTCAGTAGAATGCAAATTAATTGAGCCCTGGCTAGGACCAGAACACTTTCAAGACCAAATGGTCCAGATGTTCAAAAATCTGGTAAAAATACCCTTCCTTATTACAACTTTTACACTTTTTGCCTCTGATATGCCCAAGTGCAGAGAAGATTTTTAAAGAAATAATGCATTTTCAATACAGATTCACTGTATTATCAATAGAGCCCCCCCCCCTCCCCTTCACCACCGAGAAACACCAGAGCCTCTCACCCTGGGACCAGAAGTTTCAAGTTTGCTCATCATAAGTAATCACTTTATTTAACTGCTTAACATTAAGGAGCATACAGGATCATTTAATAGAATTACTGCATTTTCACTACATTATCAACAGCCCCACCCTTATACCAGCATATCTGACCCAGGGGTCATGTAATTCACTACTCTGGAAGAAGCACTCTTGCTCATCATAACTATATACTTAGCTTCTTTGCTTTTTAACCAGAAGCAGAAAAGAATATTTTCAAAGAAATTTTGATTTTTCACTATATAATCAATAGAGCCCCCCCCCCCCCCCCCCACCTTTTGACCAGGACCCTTGACCCTGGGGCCATGAAATTCACAATTTTAGAAGAGGCATCCTTGCATATCATAACAATGTACTTAGTTTGTTTAAATAGTACCCAGGGGCAGAGAAGAAGATTTTCAAAGAAATAATTCACCTTCAATGTAGGAGCTATATAGCCCCACCCTAGCACAAGAACCCCTGTCCCTGGGGCCATGAATTTCACAATTTTGGAAGAGGTGTCCTTGCTTATCATAATAATGTACTTAGTTTGTTTAAATAATACCCAGAAGCAGAGAAGAAGATTTTTAAAGCATTAATGCATTTTCACTATATAATAAATAGAGCCCCGCCCTAACATCAGAACCCCTGACCCAGGGGCCATGAAATTCACAATTTTGGTAGAGTTACTCTTGCTTATCATAACTCTGTATTTAATTTGTTTAAATAATACCCAGGAGTAGAGAAGAAGATTTTCAAAGAAATAATGCACTTTCACTATATGATCTATATAGCCCCCCCACAGCACCAGAACCCCTTACCCTGGGGCTATGAATTTCACAATTTTAGTAGAGTCACTCTTGCTTATCATAACTATGTATTTAATTTGTTTCAATAATACCAAGGAGTAGAGAAGAAGATTTTTAAAGAAATAATGCACTTTCACTATATGATCTATATACCCCCCCCCCCCCCCCCCCAGCACCAGAACCCCTGACCATGGGGCCATGAATTTCACAATTTTGGTAGAGTCACCCTTGCTGATCATAACTCTGTATCTAATTTGTTTAAAAAATACCCAGGAGTAGAGAAGAAGATTTTCAAAGAAATAATGCACTTTCACTATACGATCTATAGAGCCCCGCCCTAACATCAGAACCCCTGACCCAGGGGCCATGAAATTCACAATTTTGGTAGAGTTACTCTTGCTTATCATAACTATGTATTTAATTTGTTTAAATAATACCCAGGAGTAGAGAAGAAGATTTTCAAAGAAATAATGCACTTTCACTATATGATCTATATAGCCCCGCCCTAGCACCAGAACCCCTGACCCTGGGGCCATGAATTTCACAATTTTGGTAGAGGACTCAATGCTCATTACAATCATGTCAACAGTTTGACTGTTTGATGTCCAGGAGTAAAGAAGAAGATTTTTAAAGATTGCATTAATTTTGATGGTTTTAGCCCCACCCCTCAGGCCCCAGGGGGGCAGGGACCATGAAATTCATAAATTTTGTTCCCCTTCACACATAGATGCCATATGCAAAAATTGGCTGAAATTGGTTCAGCGGTTTCAGAGAAGAAGCTGAAAATGTTCAAATGTTAACACACGACGCACGACGGACGACGACAGACGAAAACAGATAGCAATAGGTCACCTGAGTGACTCAGGTGACCTAAAAAAATATATAATCCTCGCATTAAGTTTGCAATACTGTTTTTATACAGTTATACATGTAGTTCTGTTTAAAATCAATTCCTTGCTTTCTCTCCCCCCCCCCCCCCTTCATCCCATTTTGCACTATTTTGAGTCAAAGATGTCTTTTTTCAGCATTTATCAATTGTTTAAGCTACAGGTATATGTATTTTCATTATAGAGTTAATGTCAGTTGTTCATTACATCAAATTTAAAAAAAAAACCGGACAAACTAAACTTTATACAGAATCAAAAAACTCATGAAATTTCAATCTCTTATGTAACAGAGTTTTCAGTAAATTATCTAAACATACCACTGCCCATAATGCTGTCTTCATTTTCAGAACATCCTCATCAGAATGCAGCTCCAAACATTTAATACACTTAAAAAACTCTCCAATACATTCCTGTAAAGAAATAACACAAACTTATACTTCAGTGTACAAGTTGTACTACAAAAAAAAAAAAAAAAATGAAATTTTTGATTCTTTTATCTTGACCGTCTTTTTATTTAAAATCAACAGGAGATAATATGAAAGTACAAAGGACACCAATTTTGTGAATTATCCAATCTCAAGGTAAGAAAAGCTCAACAGAACAGGTTCTTTAATATATTTTATTTATAATGTAAATACTTTTTGATTTGTTGAAGACAGCTTAAACTACAATGCATGGTAGTGTGAAAAGATGAAAATAACCACAGTAAAATTGCCTACTCTGCTCAAAACTGACTAAACATACATAACTTCTGATTATTCACATTAAAAAAAATTAAATATTGAATTATTAATTACATGTCAAATGTTTAGAAATGTGACATAGGTTCTGTACAAGTTTTTAATCTAACATTGATATACAGGTATAGTGAACTAATTCTCAATATTTTATTTCACAGCCAGTTACCTGTTGTTGTAGAAGATTGAATCCCTCCTTATGCTGAGTGAGCTGGCCATACAAATGGACTGGTACATATGCATCCTTGTTAGATCTCCTGGTAGAATTAAAGTGCCACAATGAAAAACACTGCACTATGAAAGAATCCAATGCATTAATGTAACATAAATATAAATGTAACTAAAGCAGTTTTACAGAACTTACTTCCTGCTGGACCTGCGAGTGAAGGATCCCTCGTACGTTTTCTCGTATGTTGTTAGGGCCTCATTTAACAAGTCCTCCACAATGTGAATGTATCTAACATTATATGTCTAGGAATAGAAGGAAGTCACACATCAAACAATCAAAAATACAATTTATTCTAAAGTACTGCTCCACAGAAATCATGCTAAAATATAAACCTTGTGTATATTTTGTTACCTTTTCCCATTTTTGGACCTCGTTGTGTATGAAGTTAGCATCACTGAGCATTTTGAATCCTTTGGACGTGGACATGAAGCGACACAGCAGTAGGACACCTCTCTCACCCAGGTGTAGGCACTGAGGCCTCAGCTTAATAACGGAACTCAGACAGGGCTGGAAATGTACAATAGTACTTAATGACTTAGTATTAAAAACCAGCTTAATAACGGAACTCAGACAGGGCTGGAAATGTACAACTTAGTATTAAATACTGAAATGTTTAAATACCTAAATAGTTGTGTTGCCTTTTCTTGGTGCTTAGTAATATACATGTTTGTATTTCGCACATTCTGTGTTATCCAATAATGCTCAATGATGGCTCATTTAAATAAAAGACCATTTGTGTGTTATAAACTTGACCATGGTATGAGACAGTGATACAATGCTCAGGTGATAAAACTTACCTGTACATCACAGTGATACCATTCTCAGGAGATAAAACTGACCTGTGCATCAGAGTGATACAATGCTCAGGTGATAAAACTTACCTGTACATCACAGTGATACCATTCTCAGGTGATAAAACTGACCTGTGCATCAGAGTGATACAATGCTCAGGTGATAAAACTTACCTGTACATCACAGTGATACAATGCTCAGGTGATAAAACTTACTTGTACATCACAGTGATACCATGCTCAGGTGATAAAACTTACCTGTACATCACAGTGATACAATGCTCATGTGAAAAAACTTACCTGTACATCACAGTGATACAATGGTCAGGTGATAAAACTTACCTGTACATCACAGTGATACAATGGTCAGGTGATAAAACTTACCTGTACATCACAGTGATACAATGCTCATGTGATAAAACTTACCTGTACATCACAGGCCTCCTCCAGGACATGAAGAGCAGCCTGAGCAACCTGGTTGCTTTGGTCATACAACTGATTTACCAGAAGCTCCATACCCCAGGTACTGAACCCAGCAACTCTTGTTCGCAGCAACGTACGCAGAAACTTGGTGCAGTAGAGACGGGCAGACTTTTAAAACAGAAAAACATGCATTTTATTGACATACAAATAAATAACAAAAAAAATATTACAGGATGTCAATAACAATACTGAGGTATTTGTTTTACATTACCTCTGTGGCAGAACACAGGGCTTTGGCCAGCACTGGTCTGGTATTACCATCCTTACTGTAGTTAAGGCTGGAGACAGACAATTTTACAAAGCTGTCCTGGGGTGCTATGGAAACTATGTCCAGTAAACTGAAAGAGAAGATGGCTAAGTGTGGAAACTAGGGTTATGTGTGCAAATTTACAGATACATATACAGCAAATTCATATGTACCTGGTATGTGGTCTCTGAAGTACATGTACATATCATATGACGTTTATATCTTCACAGATTCATATGTACTTTGAACAGGTATTCAGACATAAAATACTTAAAATAAAGCACATTAAAATAATGAAAATTAAAAAAATAGTATTCATTTACTAAAACGAAAATGGGGAGAGTGAGGTGGTCAGAAAAATTTGGCACAGCTGAATTTTCTCTAACCAAATGTACAGTATTAGTGCATGATGTTTGATGAAGATACCTTGCACAGTTTCTTTGAAACTGAGCTTCATGTTAAAAAAAAAGGGGAAGCGTGAAGTCAAGCTCACAAAAATTTGACACAGCTGAATTGCCATCACTATGTATGTACCAGTGTAGGAAGTTTAATGAAAATATCTTGAACAGATTTTTTGAAACTAACCTAAGCCATATTCATAGTGGCCATAAAAAAATAAATGGTAAAAAAAAAATTTCATTTGATTACTAGTTGGCAAATTGTTTACAATATCAACTTGGGTACTTACTACTGATATACACCAGTTTTTTCTAGATATTTGTCCCCCAAAACAGTCCCCGAGAATCGGCCCACAAACAGAAAGTAGAACTGACTGCATGTGTTAATGACATTCCCTGGACTCAGTACGGACTCTGGTACCAAACGCTGCTGTGCAATCTACACAAAAATCATAAAACACAGGCTTAAAATGCTGCTGGACAATCTACACAAAAATCATAAAATATAGGCTTAAAACGCTGCTGGACAATCTACACAAAAATCATTAAGTATAGGCTTAAAAACACTGCTGAGAAAGGATTTCATTCTCTTTATATCATGAAGAACATGTACATGTAAAGGGTCTACTATTCAAAATGACAATAAAATAAAGATTAAGTATCTACATCTAACCTCAGACATGCACCCCCCTATATCTCCTATAAAATCTAGAGCCAGTTTCTGGACTTCATCCTGCAAAAAACAAATATTTCATGTAAATAAAAATACATTTCTCTTGACAATAATAATGAACAGATATGAGCATCACATGTTAATGCACTGATGACAACTGGTTTTAATTTTAATTTTGTTTTTCTGTTTATATAAGCAAATTTAATTCTCACCTTATGTCTCACCAATTAGCCTGTTATTAACACAGTCTTACTTGTGCATGTTTTACATGTTACTAATAGAATTAGTCTCATCTATTTACTTGTTATTAATAGAATTAGTCTCATCTATTTACTTGTTATTAATAGAATTAATCTCATCTATTTACTTGTTACTAATAGAATTAGTCTCATCTATTTACTTGTTATTAATAGAATTAGTCTCATTTGTTTATGTTTTACTAATAGACTTAGTCTGTTTACCTGTTACTAAAAGACTTAGCTGTGTTACTAATAGACTTGATCTCATCAGTTTATATATTACTAATAGACTTAGTCTGTTCACATGTTACTAATAGACTTTGTATCACAAAGCAAAGATTCCACTGTGTAACTGCTACTAACAGACTTTGTCCCATCTGTGTACTGGTCCCTAACAGACTTAGTCCCACTTGTGTACTGGTTCCTAACAGACTTAGTCCCACCTGTGTACTGGTTCCTAACAGACTTAGTCCCACCTGTGTACTAGTCCCTAACAGACTTAAGTCCTACCTGTGTACTGGTCCCTAACAGACTTAAATCCCACCTGTGTACTGGTCCCTAACAAACTTTAGTCCCACCTGTGTACTGGTTCCTAACAGACTTAAGTCCCACCTGTGTACTGGTTCCTAACAGACTTAGTCCCACCTGTGTACTGGTTCCTGACAGACTTAAGTCCCACCTGTGTACTGGTTCCTAACAGACTTAGTCCCACCTGTGAACTGGTTCCTAACAGACTTAAGTCTCACCTGTTCAGTTGACAACAGAAAGTCCACCAACAGACAACCAGAATGTACCATCATCTGAGTCAGTTTGTGGTTGATCTCTAGTCTTGAAAATCTGTGATTGGTCGGTTTGTAAAACTGTACAAGCCTCTTAAAGAACCTGAAAATACATATACAAATTAAAACTTTTGTCAAATTTTTGAAAAAAATTATCATCGGTGGTCTAGCCTAGGATGAAAAATATGAAGAATGGCAATTTACTAGTGCATGTACATCCATGAGTGTCAATTGCATAGGCTTAAATTTAATCCCATGATACTTTCACTTTCATCATAAACAGTAATATCAAATCTTTCAAAACTGAATAGCAGTAATTCCTGAACTATTGTTAAATGTTTCATAACTTTAATAAATGCAAGAAATGACAGCAGAGGTAAAAAAAATTGATTAGATTTTATTTTTTTCCTTGAAAGTACATACAATGTACAAGTGGGTGTTGCCATTTGCCATATAAAATAGGCACTAGAAATGCTATCAAGAGGACGAACCAATTGTCTTACTGAAAATGTTTGTCTGGTAGAGTCTGTCTGATTGAAAATGCTCCCAAAGCACAACCTTATGTCAAACTTCCTGAAAGGAGTTTTCCGAAGTTCTACATTTCAATACTACACACATTTCCAACTTGTGAACAATCACTTACTTCAGTGTAAGTTGGTCATCCAGTCTTCTTAACTTTTCCTCTGGCCACTACAGTTTAAAAATAAGACAACAAAATGACGAAGATATTTTAAAATTCATACAGATCTATAGTCACATAAACTGAGACCTGAGAGACAACTGAACTTGTTATCCTTGGTAAAGTTTTAAGTTTCCCTGAGAGTGTGTCCCTTACCTTCAGGATAGCAGGTACCAGATCCCAGTCCCAGTTAACAATATCCTTGGTGTTGACAACATTGGAATCTTTAATGGCCTGTCCTATCATATCCTCTGTGGGAGACTGAAAAGATCAAAATTGATTTTCTTCAGAGGCATATAATAAAACTTTGATGGTCAGAATGTGAGATTATGAAAGAGGCATTCCAATTTTGCCAACTCCGTTTTCAAATGTAAACTTTACTTAATACAAAAATAATTCTGAAACCTAAAATCTGAGAAGTCAAGGCATTAACACCTACTTTATTGATGTAAAGGTCATATTTCTTCCTCAGGTAGAATTTTGTCTGTCCTACAGGTCTACCTCCATTCCTCTGAATCAGCTGATCCAGGTAAAGACTGCTGGGCACAGGGCCTCGCTTCTTCATGGCATGAAGACGCTCTAAGTAATAAATGGCTTCTCTGGCTTGACTGAAAAAGGATTATGGGCATAAATGTGAGAAAAAAACAGCTCTGTTTAAGGTCAATCTATAGGGTAGTACATGTATTTAAATACAATGTAAAAATCATGAAAAATTCTTTGAATGTAAATAAGAAAAGAATGAGTGAAACACAAATACCTATGGAGAAGTGAGATTGATCTACACTGAGATTAAAGCTTACAATGTCTGAGCATGTCTTTGCAGTCTATAAATGTCTGAGCAAATGTGAGACCAAGTTTTACAATGTATGGGCAAAGATGATATCACAATTTACAAATGTCTGAGTGCAGGTGAGATCAAAACTTACAATGTCTGAGCTGAGGTGAGATCAAAACTTACAATGTCTGAGCTGAGGTGAGATCAAAACTTACAATGACTGAGCAGAGGTGAGATCAAAACACTTACAATGTCTGAGCTGAGATCAAAACTTAAAATGTCTGAGCTGAGGGGAGATAAAAAATTACAATGTCTGAGCTGAGGTGAGATCAAAACTTACAATATCTGAGCAGAGGTGAGATCAAAACTTACAATGTCTGAGCTGAGGTGAGATCAGGTGAGGAGGCTAGGGCCAGGAGTGATGGCAGACAGTGGTTGTGATGGGAGCACTCAGGAGGAAGCATGGTACTGGCCTGTAAAGAATCAGCATTAGTTAAGTACAACATATAATTACTGTCAAGTTGAAATTTTTTTTACCTATTCCACTTGAGTGAATTTGCAGCTGAATATAGAATTACATTCTTTATTTAAAAAAAGCTACAGGTAAATGCTGCTGAAGTAACTTACTAAATGAAGTAGGTCACCAAGGAGGATTGTGGCACGAACAAAGAGCTGACGATCACTGCTGATTATAACTTCTACTAATGCCTGAAAAACAGTGTTACAATTCAATCCAAAAATAATACAATCCTTGCAATAAATGTTTCCAACAAAGAATAGCAATGACCTAAACTTCAGTTTACCACAGAGTGTAATTATACTATATAGAATCAGAATATGAGCTACATTTTACACTAGCTAAATAACCTATTCCAAGTACAAATTTGCTGCAAAAGAGGTTCCCCGAGTTTTTACCTCTAGAATCCCTGCTCCAATCCATGCAGACAGAAGTAATGCTAAATGGTTTTCTATTAAATTTGGTCTGAAATCAAAGAAAGACATCGAAAGTTTAAGTATAATTGTGCAATACTTGGCAAAATTTTAAATTCCCTTAGATATGAGGACTGGGTGCATGTTTGATGGCAAAATTGTTGAGGAATTTCTGCTCTTGCACACCTGATTTTTGCCATGTGGGGCAGTATGCACTTCCCCTCCTCAGCCACAAACCCATCTGTTATCTTCCAGTTCTCCTGCATTTCCGACGGATCTGAAGAAAAGCAAAAAATGAAAGTCAATTAATGCATTCTTATCCATGACTGCAAACACATAAAAATAGGTACATTGTATCAATATGTAAATAGATAAGCTAATCCACTAACTCTCTTAAATTGAAATGTTCGACAAAGAGTAATAGTTTAATAGCTGAGCTGCAGATACTCACCCACACTTAGTAAAGCTGTGTTGAAATCATCTGTTGACTCAGGAATTTTCAAACGAAATAAATCAAATAAAATCTCTAGTATTCCATGCTGAAATCATCAAATAACCATTAATTACATAAAATTAATTCTTCAAATAAATGCAATACAGGAAAAAAATCCTCAATAAGCCTCATTTGTGCAATTCAAAACATTTAAACTACAACATTAACTTAGGTACCCTAATTTCTTTGTATGGTAGGTAGAGAATGCCAACAAGCGACTGTAAACCACTGCCATCTGGTCGACAGAAACGAATTATTCCTGCCAAATAATTAAAACAGAATTCAATTGGTTGTAGAGTTCTTGCAATGCATAATTTGTAAGAATATAAATAACCAAAAGAACATGAACATACAATGGTGAATTTTCCCTCAAAAACAAATTCTGTGTTCTCTAAATTAAAAACTTTATTTTATTAAACATTTATAAATTAATCGAATACTTCCTTTTATATAGTTTATTTGCCTTATAGAATTATGTAATTAATGTATATATGAAATTGATTAAAAAGATCAAAACTCCCTATATAGCAATACATCATATTAATTAAATACATACCTGACCAAGTCCGCATGATAGAGACGACGGCCATTTTACTGGCTGCAAATCGATTCTCTTTCTCCTCACTACAAAACATAAACAGTAAATATGTAAAAAACATTAATATTGTGGGTATAGATTAGGGAGAGCTCCTACTGTATACATCTGAGTGTAAGTTGATGCAGTTGAATAGCTCTCTTCAGTATGTATCAGCATATAAGGTTTAATAAAAATATCTTGAATAGTTTTTTTAAAACTGAGCTAATCATTAATTTAAGAAAAGAGAAAGGTTAAGGTCAAAAAAATTTTCATGCCATTGAATAGCTCTCATCAATATGTATGAAGTTTGAAAAAAATATCTTGAATAGTTTATCTGAAATTGAGCTACATGCAAAGTAGACAGAAGGACAGAAGGATGGAAGATAGACATGACAAACACTATTTGCCCCCGCCATATTCATTGCTGGGCATAAAAATTGTAAGAAAATTCACTCACCCTGAGGATTGTTCTGACGACTCAGCACTGAATCTGTAATGGCAGTCTGTGAAGGGGGCTAACAGTTGCTAAAAATATATTTAAAAAATATCAACACAAAAGTACCAACCATCTATCTTGTAATCACATGACTATAAGATTATACATGTACAAACATTACATCCTGGCAGATAAAGCACACAATATACATGTACAACCTTACCTCCAGGTCTGTATTGAATTTGATGAAATGCCTGGTTCTGGGATGGTTCAGTAGATGGAGAATGGTGGACACCAGTGATTCGTTTATTCTGGGATACTGATGGCAGTCCAGAGCTGCTCTTAAAATAGCACCAATTCCTCCACATCTTGCCAATAACTCCGGATTCACAAATGCTACAATAAAGGTACACTTGTTCTGCATAAAAAAATAAATTATATACATGTTTTATAAAACTTTAATACTTATAATGTATGGTACACATAAGAGTTAAGTACACAATCTGCATTATAGGCACATGTAGGTGATTATTATGTAATTATGTTCCAAGTTTTTTTGTTTTACTTTCCACGGGAAATAAATTTTGTCCAGGGGAAATAAATACTTTCCAGGGGGAAATAAATACTTGTAATATCTTGCTATAATCAAATTTCTTTCTTTCTTATAGCATACTTATCTGTTTTACATATTGAAATACCAGCTCTTTGCCACATCTACATGTATAAATATCTTCTATGTATAAATGTCTTCTCTGTGCCATACTTACCTGTTTCACTATGCCGAACTTACTTGTTTCACATATCATTTCTATAAATACTTTCTCTGTGCCAAACTAACCTGTTTCACATATAGTTTCTAGAGCTATCCTGACCATTCTGTCTCTCTCAGCTGTTCCATCATTACTTATGGCAACCAATGGATAAAACAAGAGATCAGACAATTTCTTGGGTGCAATCTGCAGAATTTTTCTGACTAGTTTAATCCCATGTATTCTTTCTACTTCATTGTCTAAACATAAATCTATTGACCTGCAATGCAAGTGGAATTCTTTTAATACAATTTAATTGTGTGGTATCTTTTCTCAACAGTAAGAAAATTTAAATTTCTTATAATTATGACAACTACATGTCGTCGAATAGCTGTGCTATAGAAAAAGAAGTAAAAGTGATAAATCCAGTATAAGTTTCTGATAATTAGAAATTGATAATGTCGGGTATGAGAATATCATAAAACAATCTTAATAAAAGGAAGTGGATTACAAACCTGACAATTAAGTAATCTATGTGGAGAGTGTAAAATAAATCGACGGTCTCTTGGTCCCGGAGAAAGTACCGCAGCACTCTTAACACTGCTGCCCGCACTTCTTTTGCCTCATGGAATAAACCTACCCTTAAACTGTAAAATATCACATTCTTCAGAAAAAATACAATATGACCTGACTATAGCCATTCAGTAACATAGGAATTGACAGGCTGAATGAAAATTGATATAAATATTTGCAAAATTTCTCACACAAGTTTCAGTTTTCAAGTGCTTAAAATTGTTGAGCTCCCTGATGAACTGTCTAAATGAGGTCATTTAAATCTGAACTTCGTTTCTTGATTTTGGATCTCCTTATGACAATATAAACACAATTTTTTATTTACTTCTTTCTGAATAAGAACTCAACTATTACTCACCAACACAAAATATCTCTCTTTGTGAAGCCTGAGTATTTGTCATTTCCATATTTGAGTAAAAGTTTGACTAAAGCATTCAGGTATGCTAGCTTCTTAGATTTTGGTACACTACTTTGGGAAACTATGACAGCTAAAATCTCTTTCAAATTTTCATTTGGGTCTGAAAAAGATGTAAAATATTATGAATATGGTGCCAAAACAGTAATTGCTAGTAAAAAAATGTAAGTATCAACCCAAAATCTTAATATCAACTGCTGTGAATTTTGATCATAGTACTTGCATATAACTAATGGATATAATCAAAAAACTGTCCATTATGTCGGATATTAGATGGTCCAAGGTGCGTTAGCACTGAGTAGAGTCTAACATCTCAAACAATGGTCAGTTTGAGACTTATAAATTACTTCAAAATTTCACCAATGTCGACTACTCCCCTAGTTAACTAAATGGTTCAACTGCTACAGGTAAACTTGTCTCATTCTGCTTGGATGACTTTACTTGGCACTGTTCATTAAGTTAGCCCAAAGAAAACTAGTTTTCAAAATTATCTCTTAAGTTTTTCAATATTAGGAATCATTATGTCACCTGTTGTATATCGATAAATAAATAGAGGATATTCAATGTTTTGTAGATGAATATGGAATTTATTTCACGAGTGGGACAGGTTTTTTTGATATTTTCACGAGTGCGAAGCACTCGTGAAAATATCAAAAAATCCTGTCTCACAAGTGAAATAAATTCCATATTCATCTACAAAACATTGAATTTTCTGTTTATTACATTTTCTTTGATTTTCCCTTTGCCTCTGTCTTTTCTTAACACAGTGTCATAGCTAGGTCTGACATCATAGTTGAGCAGTTGAGACGTCATAGCTTAGCAGTTGTGAGATTGAAAACATTACATAGCATGGATTTCAGCAATATATTGGGGAAGAAATTTGCAGTTTTAGCTCTATCTTATGACAGGCCAGAAATTATTTTTTTACTTACTTTGATATCCTTTCACACTGTGAGAGAATATCATTTTGATATCCTTTCACACTGTGAGAGAATATCACTTTTATTCAATAAATTAATCACAGTATTTCACTGTTGAAAATGTAATAAAACTATTAACTTTTTTTAGTCTTATTTTATATCTGCATTGCGACACTTTTAAATATACTATGCAAGTTCAAAGTTAGTTCTGTTAAATTTTTGATGATTCATTCATGTTTTAAAACAACTACTTTTTCATATTCAGATATTCTTGACAATATTGTTAATGGAGAACATTAAAATGCAAACTTAAGGTTGAAGTTTTCTGCTGTGAAATTTGGAGAAACTCTTATATTTCGGAGTTTGCAAGAAACAGTTTCTCAATCATGCAATACAATAGGACTTAAAGGATTTTACCACCCTGTGACACATTCTTTAAGTTTCATTTTTTCCTAGAGATTATTTCTGATACATTTAAAATTTGCAATAGTTTCTCAAAATAATGCATATATTAACCTTTTGACCCCCTGTCTGTGTTATGGTGTTTTGAATGAATAATCAAAATACATGTGAAATGTAAATATTCTCTGTTGTGAAACACAAAATAATCCAGTTTGGTGTTTTTTTTTTAATGTGGTGACAAATTATGTAAATATTGTTCATGAATATTTTGTTGCTTTAAAGTATTTAAAGAATAAATAACCCATCCTAAATTCCATGATTAATCAAGTTTAATCATGTTAAGGTCAGACGACACGTTCCTCAAAAATATATAACTTTTCCCAATATTTTATGATTGAAAGATTGATACTTTAAGAAGTTCCTTCACAAAAAATTGGGGTGCATTACCAGACACATGTGCAAGATTCTGGAGGATGGTATTTCCTATATAATCCTATACTAGAGATCACTTGAACTGCTTATACCATTGTTTTTGGTGTTTATATTTTTCAAACATTTTGAAAATAGGTTAGAAATCAAAATATAATGATAATTATAAATATTTTTGGTATATTACAAAGGAATGCAAAAAAGATATTTAAGGAACATGTCGTCTGACCTTAATATGCGGTTTTCCCCATTCCTACTCTTCCATATTTTATTCGACAGAGCCTTGGGTCAATTGAAGAAGGTTTCTTAGTATAACAGTGAAGCAGTGGAATTCCAGCAGATTACAAAGACTTAAAACTGCTTCCTTATTGCTCCCACTTTAATTCAATTCTCCCAAAATAAAACAAAAAGCAAACCTCTACATTTCGTATTTACTAAGTTAAGGTTTAATTATGGTCACTCAGAGGATCTGAAACCATTTGTAAGTTTTTTTTTTAAATTGATAAGCACTCCTTTGTTTCTCTGCACAACTAATTGGGAATAGTAAAAAGAAAATATTGCATATCTTAAAAAGGAGTACACACCTCTCGAAAAATCAAGCTTCAAAATTTCGTCTGCACTTTCATGTCGAGCTGAAATGAAGAAAATATGCAATTATTCTGAAAATCTAGAGATTTACTGCTGTGACTTAATACTGATTTATGAAATTGTTCCAGTTTTTACCTCTGAATCGGCCACTTTTAACGAAAGGTCGACCGCCGTGGCGACCACTGGCCGCCATCTTTTTTCTATTACTTCCTACTTTATGTTATGTCGTAGTCAATTAATTCTTTTTATTTATATATCAGACTGTCTTGGTAAAGTGCAAACTTGAAATGAATAAAGGTTAAATGGCATATTTCAATTTTACTTTTAATGATAAAAAAAGATGAAGGAAAATTGTATCGTCAGATTACGACAACTGCCAAAATCCGAAAAGAAAAACATGGACCAGATGGAGGTGGTTCAGCCAAAGTTTACAAAACTTTTAGATGGCATGATGGGAGCCGAAGGTCCTGTATTTGACAAGGACGCTAATTTCTACATGGTTGCACCTGAGGTAGAGAAAAATGGACGTTTTGCTGGCCAAGTTCTTCGCATTGATCTGAAGAATAGCAAGGTAAGAGAGAGGGGTAGGGGTATCTTTCACCTGATCATGTGATATATACAGTGTGCGAAAATAACAAGGATGAAATAGCCTGTTGGGCTATCTCATTTTGGATTGGTATATATAAACCGTGGATAACTGGGACTGTCCATAAGAACCAAGCACGAAAAAATGTGCAATGATTTTTATTCATATTTTTAATTTTTTTTATTCATGTATCTATTTTTATTGAATTATCTGTTACTAGTATATTTTCATTTTATCTTGTGAAAATGAAATATAAAATCAGAGTTTGTGCCTTTCACAAAAACTGTACCACATGTTCACACGTCATATTTGAACTTTACCGGCCAGCTAATCCGAAATATCTGACGTTTTCCAGGTGTTTTTCATGATTTTGATATTTTATGTGCCAGGAAAATGTTACAACTTCACAACTTCTTCTTCCATTAATGTGCCTGGCACCAATGTTTGGCATTATCCCACATGTATAAAAAGTTAAAATTATGCTGAGGAAGGCCTTATTAAAATCTGAAAAAAATCATCAATATTTCTTAAATGAGTAGGAACTGATTCGGGACTTGAAGGCCATGGATACTGGTAGAGAATTCCAGATCACTACTACAGCTGGGAAAAAGGAATCCTGGTAGCATTTGAGGTGGCAGAATGGTTGTTAAAACCTCAAAGCATGTCCTCTGGTGTAGTTACTTGTTAGTTGTAAATGACTGGATGGAATGTCTATGAGGTCATTCACAATTCTGAACATCATGGTGGCTCGTGCTGTTAACCGTCTGGACTGCAGGGTATCAAGATGGAGTTGTTGGATAGATGTAATACTGCTCTCCCTGCTGTAATCGCCCATGATGTATCGTGCAGCCCTTCGTTGTACCGCTTCTATCTTATTAATATGGGTCTTGTTGGTGTGATCCCATACGTTGGAGGTGTATTCAACCTGGGGTCTCCCTAGGGTCTTATAACTAGTTGCCTTGATGGACCATGGGCAGCCAGAAAGGTTACGGCTCAAGAAAGGAACTTGCTTTTAATATTATGAAAACTGGAAATTTTGTTGCCCCCAACTGAACTTGATTTTTGATACTTGCAAATTCAATTAAATGTCAACTCAATAACTTATAAATGTTTACTTAATTTGTGTCTAACTGTGCTTCCAGTGATAAGAAATTGCAGCATGGTGGATGTACACAAACAAATAGAGTTGGGTTAAATAGGACATTGTTCATTTATGGAAAAATTAATGCACAATGTTATAAATTAATCATGTTAATAAGTTATGGGAATTAACAGTAATTCTGTTAAAATAAGGATTTCAAATTCAAGTGTAAAATTATTCTGCACAATTCCTTTTTTCCATTATTACATGTTATAAATATAAAATGCTCCTTCTCATTGAATCTTAATATTTTAACCATGGCCAAAACTATGATAGACAATGCAGCCTGTTTTAATTTGGATCGGGATAGCCCGATTCAACTTGAGGTAGAATCAGACCCTATCAGACAGGCGTTAATTGCACACTGTATATATCAGGTCTAGCACAATCTCCTGATTTAGCTATATTGTGTGAACTAGCTTTTCAAGTATAATTAATTATTATTAAGCTTTTCAAGAAAAGCTATTTCAATGCAGTCTTTACAGTTTTTCACAAATGTGCTTTTTACTAGGAATAGACAAAATTCACTACTCATATTTGAACTATGGACTGTTAAAAAAACCAGTCCAAATCAAAGATGAATTGAACATTGCAGCTTTTGAATACTTTTAAGCAAGAGATGTATTTCCATTGTTTTGGTAACTATATAGTTACACCTTGTGAGTGATGGGCGTTACTTTACATTGTGCTAAATTATTACTAATCGATTATCTTGTTGACCAGAATTGACCTGCTATATAATTTCATTCAAGAAGTAATTGTGTAGACACAAATCAATTGTTTTATCATGTTCATATCACCATAGTTGCCAACTCACCCGATAACACCAATTTTTCAACCCTTAACCTGATTTTTTTAATGACATGGAAGGTCATGTTTTTCACCTGATTTTTGCCAAAACACCTGAAAATCTCCAAATACCAGATTTAGTTTGCAAATTGGTTTGCATGTGTGATTTTCAGTTATCAACCCAAGCTTGTATCTACATAAGCAGTGCAGGTGGCCTTTTGCAGTATGTAAAGGTCAATTATTAGTGCAAATAATAACAAAATCTGTGAGTTGTTTTGACAAAGCGAAGTTTGAAATCATTGTAAATGTCTTCAGATATGAAATCATTATCAGGGCCCACAGGAAGACCACCAATGAAAAGAAAATGATATTTATGTACATATCAAGAAACTTTGGAAAACAAATTTCATTTGAAAATATAAAGTGATCAAAGATTGTATAAGGCTAATTGTACACTACATGAAAATTTCACTTGTTTATTTGAAGAATTTGTTTATCTGGAGAAGAAAGTTTTCTTCAAAACCAACATAATTTGATTAGCTCAAAATTCTTTTCCTTCTTCCAAACAGCCATGCAGATTCTGGAAATTGGCTTTCAACATTTTAAAAATTTGCCGGTACCCGGTATTTTCACCTGGCTGAAATCATGATTGTACCAGCCAAAATATTTGTTGTAGAAAAATTTGATAAGTAAACATTTAATTAAAATCGCTTCCACAATGTACCTCCTATTTTTGTAAAAGTTCCTCCTGTTTCTCATCTTTTTGAAAGCTCTGTCATGGTAAATATTTGGGGAATGTCATTATGTGTTATGACCAGATTTTTTTCTTTCCAAAGAGGGTCATGACCCTCTTTTTACATGTTGGAGGTTGGCAAGTGTGTATAGCCTAAAAACATTTAGAACTTTTGAGTGCAAAGTCTATAAAAGAAACAAATTTGGATGAGCATGTTTTCAGACCAGTACAAAGTTGAAAATTATCACTGCAACAAAGTGCAACTTTTTTTTACATACTGAAAAATATGTACATTAAAGGAAAAAAAGGTATGATAAAATAGCAAAATCTAGCTAGTTTGAATAGCTAATTCAGTTAAGCTACATATTGTGCCGGACCTGTATATAGCAACAAAGCTGCAGAACTGTAGCTCTCTGCAAAAAAAAATATTGACAGACTGGAGAGCTACAGTGCCACCCATAGAGAAAACTGTATATTTATTGCGCACAACAAATTGCACTCAATTCTGGATTTATTTCTCCAAATTCTTACCTCATCTGCACAAAAGATCGATTTCATGAAATTCCTTAGATCTCTATCAACTACAGATATAGTTGACATCTGCAGGAAGCGCAGTGGACCGAATTGTCTTGCCACCCAAAATGGCAGTATAAATAAGCAAAATATTTTTGTTGGTCTCCATTTCAGGCCCAGTAGGGCTATTACCAATGGTTATGGTGGGATGTTTTGTTGTCGAAATAGTTTAAGAATATGTTAGGAACGCACGGTTAGTAATATTTTGAGATGCCAGTTTAAATATACGGAGAAATAAATCTAGAATCAAGCGCAATTTTTTGTGCACAATAAATATACTGTTTTCCCTATGGGTGGCACTGTAGCTCTCCGGTCTGTCAATATTTTTTTTTTTCAGAGAGCTACAGTTCTGCAGCTATTTTGTTGCTATATACAGCTCCGGCACAATATGTAACTTAACTGAATTAGCTATTCAAACTAGCTAGATTTTGCTATTTTATCATACCTTTTTTTCCTTTAATGTACATATTTTTCAGTATGTAAAAAAAAATTTTTTTCGGAGAGCTACACTTCTGCAGCTAGCAACAAATTAACAAGTGAATTGTTTTAGATGTGTCTACCAGTAAAAAATGAGATGTAGTTAAAAATATATTCCTTATTAACATAAGTTAACAGTCTACAAGATAATAATAGATGGTAAGCAAAGGGAGGGCAAATGATGAACAAATTAAACTATTATGAGCAGAGTGAACAATGAGCAAAGGATGAGTTGAGAGTGAATGCTGAGTGTGTTCAGAGTGGAGTTGAAACACTTGATTAAAGCACAGGGGTGTGTTCAAGATAATAGTGACTTTGTAGGTTTATATAGCCTCAAATGATATGTTAGCATAGCTGCTATATAGGGACAGAAGTGTTAATCATACTGTGTGTTCAATTGACTGAAATAGCGAGCTGCTGTGATGTAGTTAAAAATATATTCCTTATTAATTTAATTGGAAACAGTCTACAAGAGAATAATAGATGGTAAGCAAAGGGAGGGCAAATGATGAACAAATTAAACTATGAGCAGAGTGAACAATTGAGCGAGCTGTTGTGATCTCAAGTGTAGCCCAGTGAATGGAGAATTCAGAGTGGCCGAGTGTAGCCCAGTGAATGGAGAATTCAGAAACAATGAGTGAAAGTGGCAATGGATTAGTAGAACATATGTTTAGAGTAAAAGATGTATTATGACTAATAGCTAATTCTTAGAAACTTTAGAAAAGGGGAAAGTGTGGGTATAACTATTACATATGACAGAATCATGCAGTCTGTATGATTTACAAGTCTCCCCATGAAACCATGAAATTAAGTCAAATTTCTACCAAAAAAAAATATTGAAAGGTATAATAACAATATTCTAAACATATATTATTCAATATGCTTATCAAAATAAGTTGGTATAATGTGTCGGATCAATTAAGGCACAATTTATGTGTATATTGGCTTTATTGCTGAGAGGGTACAACTGTGAATTGTATATAGATAAAGAAAAAAAAAATGAAAGTAATGAAAGTAATGAACAAGATTTGTATGGTTTATTTTTGCTTGCAGTTTCTAAATTTTTTTTTTAGTCTGTACATTTCTTATACATATATTTGTATCTGTTTTCTCTAAGTACCTATTGGGAATTTGATTTCATTTACTAAACAGATTTTCTTTAATTTTAAAGCTAATAAAATTATACCTACCTATGAGAGCATTACCTCCAGGAATAGCTAGATTGTTTAAGTCCTGCATGGTTTTTTTTGTTCTTGGTGAATTTACTACTGATAGAACAACAATGTGTGTGGTAATCATGGAGTAATTATCACTTATAGGAAAGTGATGAAGTTATGTTGCCATGGTGATATCATTGATTTAAATTTACAAACTGAAATCTTGTTTGCAGTACATATGGCTAAGTATCTAAGTATGTCTATAAAATGTTAAAATAAATGGAATACTCACATAAACAGGATAAGGTGCTAGCAAGGAAAGAAACGAGAACTTGCTAGTTGTGCAAGTATTGGTGGAAGTGTACAAGGCTATTGTAAGGAGGGCAGTCATCAGTCTGAATTTAATGGAACGTGCAGTCTCATGGGATTAATACTTAGACTCTCAACCAAAGAATCAGGGGTCTGGACTCGGAACCATAGGATGAGTAGTCCAGACTCAAAACCAAGGAATCAGTGGTCTGGACTCAGAACCATAGGATGAGTAGTCCAGACTCAGAACCAAAGAATCAGTGGTCTGGACTCAGAACCATAGGATGAGTAGTCCAGACTCGGAACCAAGTTATCAGTGGTCTGGACTCAGAACCATAGGATCAGTAGTCCAGACTCGGAACCAAGGAATCAGTGGTCTGGACTCGGAACCATAGGATCAGTAGTCCAGACTCAGAACCATGTATAGGATCAGTGGTTCAGGATTCTGGGCTTAATTGGCCCTATTTTGGTACAGGGTCTTGTACACTTTCAATTTGGGAATTTAAAATTGAGAAGGGGGCAAAATTTGGAATTATTGATGTCTTATGTTAAACTGTAGATTGAAGTGTTAGAATTTAGGCTTATTCCTTTTTTACATCTTGATGGGTCATTATAATTAAAAAGAAATTCAAGTTTTTTTTAAATAAAAAGCATTGAAAAATTCAATCTGCTTGTCATTTGGGAATTTTTAGGTAAATTTTCAAAAAAGAGTCAATTTTCAAATGGGACAGGGTCCTTTTATCGGACCTGGATGCAGTGGATATTAAGTTTACTGTCCTGGACTTGCCACCTCAGGATCAATGGTTCACAATAAGACCACAGGATCAGTGGTTCATATTCATAACCTTGGGATTGGTGGTTCAAACTCAACTATGGATTTAGTGGGTTAGACTCAACTATGGATTGATTTAGTGATTCAGACTCATCTATGGATCTAGTGGTTCAGACTCAATTAAGGATTGTTTTTTGTAATCATTGGATCAGTAGAACAAGGGAACAATGGCTCAGTCTCCAGCGCTGAATCAGTTTTTCAGACTCAGACACTGATCAATGATTCAAATTCACAAATGCTTCATCAGTGGTTCAGAGTTTAACTGTGTTATATTGCTTTAATCAACAACAAAAGGGCATGTAATTTTTTTTGCATAATTATGTACTGTACATCACTAAATTTTCACGACATCTTATTTTTGCGAAATAGTCATCACATCTTTTTTAGTGAGACAAAATTTTCAAGAATTGTGGTCATCTTTTTAATGTGAGACAAAATTTTCAAGAATGGTGGTTATTGCTCTATATAATCTTAAGGAATACTATTATACGTGAGAATGAAATTTTTGCGAGCACACTGTCTAGTGTAATTATGCGAAAATAAAGTTGTCATGAATAAAAAGTGATTTACAGTATATTGGTACAAATGTTAAATTACTTAAAGTGATGTAAAGCTGTTTTTTTTTAGTCCTCCATTTTATGCGAGCCTGTTGTGGATGGAGAAGGGGGAATTCCGGCTGGGTGTCAGTGTGACAAAGACAACGTCTTATGGATTTCAGACATGAGGCTTGGTCTTATCACTGTGGACAAAAATGGTGACTTCAAACAGGTGTGTGATTATCTTAGCAATGGAATTTTCAAGATTGAATCATAGTTTAACATGTCAGTAATTTTTAGGAAGTAAATTAAAAGGTCACATTTCAGTCTTCATAAGAGAAAAAAGCTCTTTCATTTTTTTGTTTGGACAATTTTACTGTTCTGCTTTTAAGAGACAAAACTTTATTTAAGAAGTAAGGAATCATTTTTCAACTTTTATCGGGATGTAAATACAGGTTGGTCATGTGATCAAATCCCATAAAGCCCAAAGGGCTTTATGGTAGATTTGATCATATGCCAACCCATACTTACATCAGAATAAAAGTTTAAAAATGATATCTTATTACTTATACCGGTATTTGCATTTGAGACTGATTCATTATGTATATTATGTACTAAAATTTTAAACCCATAAAATGATTAACTTTTACAAACCTCAATGGTATAAATTGAATGTGAAAGGGAAAACATTTGCAAATGTAAATATTTGTCTTTATGCATCAAATTTGAGCAAATTGAATTCTGATTGAATGATACCAGACAAGAAAAACTTGTAAAGATATTCTCAGATAGTTTGATTAAATTCTGGACATATCTGTAGATTTGTAAGGAGGACAAGACAGGCCGTACAATGCAGGGTTGTAATGACTGCACCTTTGATTACGATGGAAATCTGTGGATAACGGCACCAGCTGGAAAAATTGCCCCTCACCCATACGAGAGGTCGATGGAGGTACATACATGACTGTTTCAGGGCAATTTTGTGAGAGAGCATTTAATGTGTATTATTTTACTTCATTCATGTAGTAATAAATTCCGCTAAATGAAGTGCAGAAAATTAAATCTTTTAGTTTGCTTTTAGGAACCTTTTGGGTCTGTGTACTGCTTCACTAGTCAGAAGGAGATGTTGTTGATTGATACTGGGCTTAGGTTTCCTAATGGCATTGCTGTGTTACATTCCCCAGATGGCAGACCTCAAACCCTGATTGTAGCAGAGACCCCCACTAAATCCCTGTGGGCCTATGAAATCCAGGGTAATGGGAAAGTAGGACAGAGGAAACTGTGGGGAAAACTGCCAGGTATATATCAAAACAAAAATGTCACAAATTTACATGAATGATGCATTTCTCTGCACAGTTCAGTATTAGTTCAATGATTTTAATTTAGAAATAAAAAAAATCCTCTTGAATTTTGCATATAAAATATGAATGCAGTATTGAGAATTAATCATAGACTGCAATAATCAAAGTATAGATATATATATACAGACAACTACATTGCCTACTTTTCCATTTCATTTATAGAAACTATCTGTACATATATTTATGACAATTTTAATTGAGCACTTGCTAGGAGTTGAGATGTTCCATATCAGGTTACAATACAGAAGTTTTTATGCCAATTTTATATTTTTCTTGAAAGGTGACACAGAAGGAGGACCAGATGGCATGGACTTTGATGAGGAGAACAACTTATTAGTGGCTCACTGGGGGTCAGGATTTCTGGAGGTGTTTGGAAGAGAGGGAGGGAGCCCTCACACACGCATCAAGTGCCCCTTCTCCAGGACTAGTAACCTCCACTTCAGGAAAGGGACAAAGGAAGTATACGTTACTGAGCATGATTCTCATGGGGTTTGGAAGTTTGAGTGGCAGAGACCAGGCAAATTACAGTATTGTGACATCATATCTCTGTGAGGCAGCTAATAATGTTATTGTATTTATTGAGTTATTATGACTTTATCAGTGGTGCCAGGTTCTTACCTTAAAACACAGCTTGGTTGTTAAAAAATGTTTAAAAATAAATATGACACTACAAACATTGTATGATGCATTTATTGATGTAGAAAACAGACATTTTGTATGTATATTTTGATATACATATAAATGCAATATATTAACAATAACTGCGTAGTTTGTTTTAAATATTAAAATGACAATCATTTTTAAAATAATTGTATACAGGTATCTTTACATCGAAAATTTTTGTTTATATTGTATTTTAAACTTTGATTATTGCAAATTTATTGAAATAATGTTTACATATTTTAGAGCAATGGTTTATTTTTATTTACTGTTGATTATTTCATAATTTTATTGTTAATTTGTAAACATTCCAATAGATAATTTTTATGCAAATCTATTGTTTTTGTTGTCAATGCCACTGAAAAAGTTAATAAATATTGAACTGATACAAAACATTCTGAAAATATACCTTAAAAAATAATTAGATCTAGAAAATATTTAGCTTGTAAACTTAAGAGGTTTTCAATAAAATTTTATGAATTTGAAACAATAGTATGGATGAAATGACACAAAGTGTACCGATGCATCGACAAAATTTGATACTGATATATTGGAAAAAAAAACTGTTAGTTGTGTTAAACATAATTCATATTTGGCACTTTTGGCGAACTCAGTAGTTTATTCATTTCATCACCACCAAATTGTAATTTTCTGCAGGTGTGAAGACATTCATTGTGCTGATAAGTCAAAAGGTGCTAAATTAAAAAAAAAAAAAGATTACATATGAAAATCAATTTCATTGTCAGTTTGTATCTTTCAGTATGTTTGGAAAATATAAATATCATTATGCATACAATAATATGAGATGATAAAACAAGTGTAAGAGACAATAATAAATTAAAAATTACAAAGCAAACATTAAGTACATGTATTTTTACTAATAGTATCAAAGTATAAAATGTTAGTTATCATGCTTCATTTATGTCAAGGAAAAAAAGAGAGTACAAAATAGATTAATCCCCATATTCTACACAAATTACATGCTCAATATAAAGGGTTTAAGGTTCACCATCTCTCTGCTCACTCATTTAAAAAATGCTTTAATGCTGATGATTTTCCAAAAGAAATGTAATTTTTAGTTAAAACACACAATTTCAGTATACAATGGCCTTTGCTCAGCAAAATTTGACAAAAATCGCCTTTCAACTTAAAATTTTCTAAAGAGTATACAGATTATCTCGCTTATCAGAGAGTCAATGAACCTTAAATGCTGAGCCCTAGAAGTTTAATAAAATTTGAAATCTACACACTGTTTATTGAGATATTTAGCATTATGGTTAGTTTCACAATCTTCTTCACAAAATCGTACCCATTTACATTGCTTTTGTTTCATTCTTAGCTACATAAAAATAAAGAAATATATATATATACATGTATAATAATGAAATGAATAGAACAAAACCTACAATTTTGTGATAACCTTTGTAAAAAAATATATAGTCCACAAAATTAAAGTCAGGATTCCACTTCACTGTAATTCACTTCAAGGTCAAGACTAGAATCAATTTTCCCCAGATGAGTGATAATGTTCAAATATTGGTTGCAGCACAGGCATTGAGCTCGGACTCTGAAGCCGCGTTGAGAATCATTTACTAGCAACGAGTAAGGACCATTCCATGGTGCTGACCATTTGAATGGTATTGTTGGTGCTGAACTTGGGAAATGTTTCTTTTGAAAGTAAAAGGTAAACTTTACTTTCTGGGAATGAAGGACTACTTCACATTTTCCCTCATTTGTATGCCTTTCATGCTGATGCCCATCTTCTCTAAGCACTGTATTATGCTCAAGAAGAAATTTAAGAATTTTATTTTTCTTTACAGTGATCTCTTTATTCATTTCTTTTGGGTATTGGTGTTCCGAAAGTTTGTCTGAATGAGTGTCCAAAATAAGACTTTTGGAGTTTTCTTGCCTAATGTATTTGTGATGAATTGATACACCTTGTTTGTTGCATATCTTTACTTTGTCAGACAATGGTATTGTTAAGATCAAATGTTCCTCTTTCTGTTCCACTCTAGAAACTTTAAGGCTCTCTGTGTGTTCTTGTAATACGACACTGTAGTCATCTGCATTTGTTAAGTTGTATTGGTTGCTGGTATCCATATCTTCGTTGTAATTACTGATTGCTATAGTAACAATTAATATTTTATTGTTTTTATCGTGAAAAGCTGGTGCTTTTACACTCAAGTCTAGAATGACCAATGACTTCTTTAAACCTTGAAATTCAAACTCCTCCAGAAGCTGTTCAGCTAGCACCCCAGGATTCACATTGTTCTTGGAGATACTGTAGAGCAATGTTCTGTTCTTCAGCACGAAGCCCGTTTTTCTTCTAGAAGTAACGAAGTAAAAGTCATCCACCTCGTCAGGAACAACTGTTATAAAGCTTTTGATGCTGGAACAGATTGAAGACACAGCAAATGTCATATCTCCAAGATGAAGCATGACTTTATCATAAGATGGACGAATAATAGGCCTTGGTCTTTCTTTCTGTACCTCAGCTTGACCTGCAGGTTTTTGTTTCTTACTATTGCACCCTATCAGTGATTTTATTTTCATTTCAGCAAGCTGAGCACTTGCAGAACACAGAAGGTCTGAGAATTTTGTTATTTTCACTTTTTGCCTGAAAATAATTTCAAGAATATTTCCACTGAAAATCCGAATCACTACACCAGGGTTCTTTTCGTCAGATATTGTTCTTTCTATACCTTCCTCATCCACTGCATTAATGCGTTCTCGCATCGCAATGCGCAAACCTGACACACCAGAGAACATGGAATGCATTTCCAACAGCACTTTTTGAGAAACAGTGCATTCTGGTACCGTAGGAAAAATGTCATGGAATGACTCCACTACAGCATTTAGACAATCCGAAAATGTTTGGTCGATTTCTGAGTCATCCTTGAAGACAAATGTCCTCCATTGTATGTCTATGTTTTCAATATTTATTATTTTTTTGATTTTTTGCTTCGCTTGAACATGTAACTGAAATATATTAACCGAGGGAAATTCAGCTTGTGTTATATTATCCATAATTTTATTACGGAGAAAATCCCTATATCCGCTCTCTAAAGCATATGCAGTATCTTGTGATATCACAACACGCAAGGGCAATTCCTGAATGCATTTCTTGTAAAATTCAGAATCAGAAAATGTGAAAATATTTCCTTCACGCAAAACAACAAAATGGTTAAAATCAGCTTGAGTTTTCTCTGTTATGATTTCATGCTTCCATACTTCAAGGTGTTCTTTGAGCTCTGTCGATTCAGAAATCATTTCAAAACATTCCTTTTCGAGAATAGGCAGTTTCACGTACTTTGGTCTTTCAAGACATGATAGCAACTCTGTCTTTGCTAGCTTCTTTGTTAATACAAGTTGTCCTGGTTTTACTTTATTTGGCTTAATTTTCACCCAAACTCCGGATAAACCCTGTGGAATTGGATTCTGATTTATGACTGGGTACCTCTGTGACAAAAGAAGGTCATCAAAGATTCGAATATACGCATTTTTATATTCTGTATAGGAAGCTTTCAAGGAGAGTCTAACCAAATCATGTGGATGACTCAATTCGCGTCTGAACTTCAAAAGACAAGCTGGTATTAATCGCTTTTCATCTGACTGAAAAGTAATGGCAACTCCAATTTTCTTTTTGATTTCATCTTGAACGTTGATAACCGTTTGACTGAGTTCATTACTGCTCTCCGCAGGCCATTCCACCAATAGTTGCTTGTCTTCTGCGTCTGATAATCTAGAGAACGAGTTGCTCCTTTCTACAATCCATTCTTTATTGTCTGTCTCATTGCAGCAGACATGAACAGTCGCTGTGTCATCTTGGAAAGATACCCCCGTGTGCTGCAGGGATATAGTGTTCTTCAGTAGCACTCTTTTAGAAGTGTATTTTAATCTTAGCATTGATTTGCAATCGTAGGCGATAGCTACAAGCTCTCTGCCGACGTCACGACACATTAGCGTTCTCAAAATTGACAGGTCATTTATTCCAAAGGATGGTAAGTCTACTTCGAAAGTAACAGGTTCTATGCAGCGCTTTGTGCTGTTTGCGTTATCATTGTCTTCTATGCCATTGATCTTGGAGATGGAATAAACGGACTGGCATACTGCTCCACAGACAGAGCGCAAAATGGTAAGATTTTGCCATAACGGGAATTGCGATCTGTCATAGTAAAGACGAGATCTTGTGATCGTGAATTTCCAGTTAACCTTACCAATAACATGGTTGTGTCCACTTATGAATCCAGTTTGCTGCGAAGTCATCTTATCTTCAAGTGACACTATAATTTCTTTCATGTTCAAAACATCGCGGAGGGCGTATTTTGCGGTCTCTCTATCAAACATTGATTCGATATCATTTTTCATATCTCTGCACTCATTTAATGTATCCTCTAACCCTCCTAACTTATTTCCATATATTAATCCGTTTAAGGATTTCATGACAACTTCTGTGTTGTAAGTCCTTTTTCTTAGTTCAATGGCATTCCAGTCTACCTTTATTTTTATACCAAGTCCAAATTCCTTTTGAATCTGTAAAAGAAAATAATCGGTAAATATGGTCGTTTTAAAAATAAAAAAAAATCGAAATACTGACATAACTATAGTATTCATACAAAGGAAGTCCTAGTAATTGCATATACTTACAAAATCTTCAAAGTATGGAATTACATTCTCCTGTACATCTTCTTTAAGTAGAATTTCATTCTGTCGTTGACAGCAGCTTTTGTCTAATCTAACAAAGAGGGATCCTTTGTCCGTGGATACACGAATCTGGTTTAAAATGGCTCCCGTGTTATCCATGGTGACTTTCGGATGATCTGCTGTTCCACTCGTAAGGCATACTACTTTAACTGACTTCACAGGAGTAGATTTAGTGGCCTCACTAATTTTAATGTCCTCAATATGATTAAGAACTATACTAGATGTTAGGAAACATTGAATCCAAACATCAGAAAAGTTCCCAAAATCTGCAATTTTGCGAAAACTGTCGAAGTCTACAGTGTATTTTAAGTCAGAAAACTCTGAAGGAATGATGTTTTCTTTGGCACTCTTTGCCTCCAATTCCTGTCTGATCGATTCTGGAAATGTTACTGATTGGACCAGCCATAAATCAGACTTAAGAATCCTTGGATCATGTCTCTCTGGTGACAATTCAAAATTCGGCCATTGTTTACCTCCAATGTTGTCCAATTCTGATAACCAAAGTTGTTTTTGGGGTAATGTGTATTGGATTTCTTTAAAAGTCGAAAAATCGTCCTCTTGATAGTTCAAAGCTTTCTTGAGATGGACAAGAAGGTCTAATCTGGAGAGCCCAATAACAGCCTCAAAAATAGATGTGCCATAATTTTTCTTCATTGTATTGTTTAAACCGCTGGCAAGACTTAGCAATTTCACAAAAACCTCTTCATTTTTAGCGACAATGGACATGGCTAGTATATTTTCAAGAATAGTGGGACTGTTTTGGAATTCGTCCAGTGTTTTTTCTATGCCCTCCGTGGATATCATTTTTTCAATGCCTTCTTTTCTGGACACCATTTTGATTAAAGAGGTAAATGTTGCATTATAGCCACAAGATATCATCATAGCAGAAATCAATGGGTTATCCGACCTATATTTCCCTAATTTCCAGAAGTACTCCGTAAGCAATTGAGGAGGAAGAGCATTATTTTCTGACCTCATTGGTTGTGTATCCTTATTTAGTGGACCCCTGTTATATATTTTTGACCAACCAATACATTTATTTAACAAGCAATTGAGGCACGACATATCAGGATCATCGTCTTTGTGACCAGCGTGAGAGTCCCCCCATGGGTCTAGCAGAGCATCTGATTTAAGGAGAGAATAATAATCTTGAAGCCCAAGAGCACTCATATACATAATTGGAGTTAATCCGCACACGTCTTTTTCCTCGCAAAGCCCTCCCATTGTCTTTGAACGAACTAGTCCGATCATTTTTGGATCTCCAGTTTGAATGGCAAGATGGAGAATATTTTCTGCTGATTTTTTTGATTTCCAGCTCATTCCGTCATCATACTGAAAGATGTATTCTGCAATTTCTAGTTGAGAATTAGACACAGCAACAGCCAAAGGACATATATCCTTAACCTGAAGTTTAAGTACTTGGCGAAGATTTTCTGTTTCCCCATCAAAATATGCCATTAAAGCATGAAAAGCCTTCTTGCATCCATGTTTGATTGCTTCAAGTAGAAGGAATCCATGTGATGAAGGGTTTTCTAAGAGCAATTTGGGGATATGTTTGGAACTTGACACAACAGCGGCCGCGGCATTGTCATCTCCCTTTTTATATAGACTGATTAGATCTAGCTGCCGCGATTTAGGAAGAGTAGGTCTAATGTCAACATCTGACATAACGGTACCGCTTGTGTTTAACTTGTTCATGAAAAAATGAAACCAGCCATAAGTTTCCACACTGTCGATGTTTTCTTTTGAATGCATAATTTTTGTTTCAGTGAACAAGTTAACGACTTCGATATTTCCGAGGAGCACGGCATAGTCTATTGGTCTCATACCATCCGAATCGCTAACATCCAAGCCCCTAGTTGTCTTCTCCAGAACACATTTGGCAATAAGTTTCATGTTGTAAATTCCGCAATAATGTAAAGCATGTTTATTTCTTTTGTCTACACACAAAACGTCCACATCATTGAAGGCTGTCAGAATTTGTGCACAGAAATCCTCTTGCCCTTTTGAGGCTGCTCCAATGAAAAATCTTTCCCAAGTCTGCTTTGTAGGCCGTCCAGTGCTTGAAAAAATTTCAGTAAAATACTTCATAATTGGCCAATTTCCAGTAGAGGCAGCTAGCTCAAAATAAAATTCCGGTTTTGCAGCCTTCATAAATTCACGATCGTATTTGCAAAACTTTAACACGGCGTCCACTGTGTCGGGTCGTTTGCTACGAATGGCATATTCTATCACATCAAAATTCTTCATGTAAATCTTATCGAGAAGATCCATAAACATTGGGTTTTCAGTATCGAACCTGATAGGTACACTTTTCCTGAAAAGATATTTAACAATGTCAGTTTGACCATAGAATGCAGCCTTGCACAAAAGTGCCGCAAAACTGGCCTGAACTGTTTCGGGAAGTTTTGATATTGAAATATTGTCGAGAATAGACTTCAAAAAGTCTATTTGTCCTTCTCTAACAGCCTGCGCCAAAGAAAGCTGCCAACACACCTTCAGCTCTCGTTCTCTTGGAATCACCTGGGAAGCTACAAGCCTTAGAAAAGTCCAAAGACTTTTATTGCAGGCAAAATGGATTGTTGTCTCTTGTAAATTCAATCCAAATTGATCAACTAGAGCAATAACCTCCTCGCTTATATCTTGCTGATAAAGAAAAACTGCATCTGATCTACCGCAGTCTTTGGGTAGAGAAATAACAATACAATCCAGAATATTCAAGTTCCAAAGTAGTTGTTTTCTCAGTAGCTTGTACACATACTTGTTAGTTTTACTTGCAGCAATCAATGAAGAAATCACCCAAGGTTCAGTCATCGATAACAACAGTAGAATGTCATTTTCATCTATTCTAGTATTCGCATCTACTGATTTAAGAAAGTTTGTAAGAATTTTCCCATGAGGTGGATTTTGCTCTGAAGTTTGCAAGGCTGTGATATGCAATGTTTCTTTCGAACTCTTTTGCATCTCGTCGTAAATATATTGAACTTTCGTTTTTAATTGATTGACTATGCTCTTTTCTACTCTCTGTTCTGACAAAACTTCGCAAAGTTTGGTTAAAAAGTCAGCAAATTTAAACCCTTCATGTTTGTAACTGAATCCATGGTATTTCGGTACAGTTTGTTGTCGCAAGAGTGGTGTTTTGCCAGATGTTATTATATTGTCATACACAAACCCAAACATGCTGAAAAGAAAGTGAAAGACATTCCTTTGAACTTTATCAGTTCTGAGTGCCTGCCAAACAATGGAATGAAAAGTTTGGTTATCATTGAGATAGATGTTATTTTTATGATAGATATCACAAATAGTTCTGTGGTTTCCCAACATTGCGCATCTGTAGCCCGTCATCATGTAATCATCACTGACCTTTAATTTGTTCTCTGATATACTAAGAATTTCTTCAAAAAGCTTCATATCTCCCATGCCTGAAGCAAAATGAATCAAAGAATACCCTGAGATTCTGGACAAATGTGCTTTTTTGAAGAGATATTCAATGATCTTTTGATCTTTGTTCATTGGTATGGTCTGGGAATTTGGTGGAGAGACTGCTATTTTTAAGTCTGACCCCTCTATTCGTTGTTGATCATTTCTAGATTCATGCAAGTTTGAACTATTCTTTCCATGTATACAAACTTTGACACTGGTATCTTTATTATCTGGCAATTTGATCTTCCTTCTTGCACTCATTTTTATGCCATGTTTAGAGATAAAAGAATAAGAATGTTCACATTCACGGAAACGTACATCTTTAATCTCAGGAGGTCTGTGTCTCTTTGTGAAACATCCTGGTACTGCGCGCTGTAAAAAAGGACTAGCGCCATTTAGAAGATAAAGTCTTGAAATTTTCCATTGCCTGTACGCTAAAGCATACCACAGAGGGGATGCTCCAGCAAAATCCACTTTGTTCAGTGGAAAACCAGGCAAATTCTCCCTGTGTACAACCTCAGTAAGTATTCGGGCAATTGTTTCCCAGCCAAAAATAGCAACAAAGTGAAAGATGGTTCTTCCATGCTTATCCACTTCTTCAACAGCCTTTTCCCATTGCTCCTGTTCAAGGATCCTGTGAAATGTTCTAGTCAGAGTCTCTGTAAGATGCATTTTCCGGCTTACAGCAGTCTGGAGTAGCAGTTGTCCCAGGGTTTTTGTTTCCAGCTTACTTACTTGACTTACCATGGTGTTGTACACATGTGCAATTGTTCCTTCTTTGCACTTCTGTAGCTGTGCAACAATGTTCCTGAAAATAAATTGGCTAGTTTAAGGATGCAGAAAAGTGTAATAATTAGAGATTGACTCAAAAATATCATAATGGACCAGGAGGCAACATTTCTTTTCTTTAATGTACTGTTTATTCAGGAAACATTTTTTATTTCTCTTTTTCATATATGATTCAGGGTTCTTAGTTATTTATGTTTTTTTCTTTACAAATAAAGATACTCTACCAAGCCCCTACCCGTACTCTTCACAAAATATTAACTGCTAATATAAAGTACCGTGGAACAGCATATTCAAGAAGTGGTGTAAATTAAACGTGGGTTCTCAAAAACTTCAAAAAACTTAAAATTAAAATCACCAAATTGTTCAAAAGTCAGTAACATCAAAACTTACGACTTTTCATACTTTATACAACCATTCCTTACGATGAACTAAAATCTTGACCTTTATTTTATATCAAAGGCAACTGCTTCTTCAATAAAAATTGAGCTCAGAAATTGTAATTGGTCATCAACAAACTTTGTTAAAGTCACTCTGATTCTATGCACAAATATTGTAGTTGATATTAAAAAGATGCTGGAGTTCCTCATTGACAACATCTATGTAGTCGCTTCCAAAGAACTGTTGCAATTCCGATGGGCATTAACTATGCCCCTTTATTAGCCGAGCTGAAGCATAATTTTTTCAAAAAACTTCTACATGAGAAGAAAACACTTGTTATCGCCTTTAACTCGACATTCAGATATATGACAGGTCGTCAGGGGATGCTTACTCTCCATGGCACCTGATCCCACCTCTTATGTTTTTAGAGGTCTGTGTTTGCTCTGCTCCAAATTTGTATTGTTCCAATGGATTTTTGAGCTTGACTACTGTTCGTTATCTTCATATTTTATCGACAACGTTTTATCAATTAACAATACCTATTTTCATTCATTTGTCGACTTGATATATTTCAATGAACTCTAAATTAAAAACACCTCAGAATCTGCTACATCCGTTACATATTTGGGCATTTTACTGACTATAGACGATTTAGGGGCCAAAAGAGATGACTTCAGCTTTTCCATCGTCAACCTTCCTCATATATGTAGTAATATTCTGCTATCACCTGTATTTATGGTGTTAATGTTTCTAAACTTATCCGATACTTAAAAGGCAGGTGAGTGACAAATAAGTTGATGTTATGATTTCAACAACTTCGTTTAATGTCAGTATTTCGTACATCTATGTTCTTTATAATGACTTCCATAGCAAATGTAACCTTTCATTAGGTCGTATTTTGACTGACGTATACCTATTGTTGGGCGTTTGTGGTTTTTTTCTTTTTACTAAATTTGACTACATAGTATTTCGTTTACCAAATCTATACATAGGGCTCAAGGCGGGTGTGACCGGTCGAAAGGGGATTCTTACTCCTCATAGTAACTCTTCCTAGGCGCCTCATCCTACCTCTGGAATTTCCGAGTTCAGTCCGTGTTTTATACCCTGTTCACAGATTTGTATTGTTTGAGTTCAATCACTGTTGGTTATCTTCAACTTTTTCAGTATGACTCAAGGCGTGTGAATAGTATTTCGGCAAAAGGACGTAAAAACTATATTTTTTATTCATTTTTTGTCCCTGTCTTTCAGGTAGACCGTTGGACAATAGCAAATCTTAATGATATGAATTTACTGTGGCGTAGAGAAACTTTTGTGTTTTTGATTTTTTTATTTGCCTTTACAGTTTACTGAGGCGTGATGTTTTGAAAAATTTTCTTGTTTAACATGAAAAGAAATACCCTAGAATTACTTCTTATTAGAATTAATATGCAAACAAATAAAAAGTTTACATTTACAGATACCGGCAGAAAAAATGAATCCCTCTATTATGTATTTGTAAAGGATATAATATTACCACAGTTAACTTTTATAGTAAAGTATTGTATGTGGCTTGGTGTTTTGATACGAGTTTATTACCCCAAAATTTCGAAATGTACTCACGTGTTGGAGTTCAGGACCCTCACTAGCAGAGAAGGATTGGTATCAACTAGATAAAGCACTATGTCATCCAAATGACTTTCAATAGCATTGTGGAGAGGACCTCCAATCTCTTGACTGAAGAAATTCCAGTCAATCTTCTTCCTGCATTAAAAAATGTCAAGGTGTTCCTCATGTTCCCATTACACACCACTATCAAATCTGCTATTTAAATTTGTTTTGTATACATACCGTTCATACAAATCCATCAATATTTTTTTCTTTGCTTTCGATGAGGGTTTCTCACAAGAACACAGGTCACGAATTTTTCTTGTCCAGATTTCTACTTGCTTGTATCGTTCATCTGAGCAACAGGCAACGATGGTGTCTACTGTAAATTTGGCATTATATTCAACAAGAAGTTTATAGATATCCCATGATCCATATATTACTGCGAGATCTAAAGGTCTTACACCATCACTTGTCTTGGCGTCAATAGTCACGGGGAGAGGAGCCTGACAAATAGATATCAGAGTTAAAAATAAGCTAAAATTCTATGAGTGAGAAATTCTAGAAACAAATCAAGATTTTTATGACCAACAAAAATACTAGTATCTATACCTGTAAAATCATTTTGACGAATTCAACATTTCCTGTGCAGGACCCCAAATGAAGAAGTGTAGTACCGGAGGGAAAGCTGATACTGTTAGGTTCTCCCGAGAGATTCATCATTATTGTACAATCTCTTAATATTCTAGTCTCCTCTTTTGAAACCGTTATTCCAAATAGTCCTCTCATTTCATATTTACTAAAACTAGTCACAATCCTTGGTGCTAATTGAAGTAATGGAAGGATCTCAAAGTTTTTGATTTTTCCTTGCTTCCAAATTTTTCTTTTCAGAAACTTATTGTAGACTTCCTCCACAAATTGTCCCCCAGTAGTAATTTCAACCATGCACCTAATTATCTTTTCCAATGGGCTCTTGCACTCAGCAAGACTGTACAATCTATTGGATATTTCAAATTCTTTCGTTGTTATTTCAGTTGTCTTCATTCCCTCTACCTCCCTACCTGACTGTATCAAACTCTGCAAAATATTTTCAGGGACATGTTTTAGGCACGCATAGGCAAGGATATACTTGATGTACTCTATCTTAACAATGCTATCGTTGTCACTGAATTTTGATTGCCAAGTTTTGTTAAATTGTTTTTGAATTTGACATTTGTTTGAGGAAAGTGCGCAATGCCATAAAAGATGTCCTTCTCTATGTAGCATCAGAGCTGCAGAATTAAAGTGCCCTGATTCTAAAGCAAACAAAAACGCTTCACATATGCCATGCACATATGTATCAGTAGATTCCTCGAAAATTTCAAATTTTCCCATTTGAACACCCGACCTAATAAGGAAACAACCCATTTTATCGAAAATCGTTTTGTCCCTTATCTTAAATTTTCTGTTGGAATTTCTTTCTGAGTGTTTGGAAGACAAAAGTTTTGCTAAAGTTGTTTTTTCATGCATTGTAAGAAGTTTTATGCTTTCCCAGATATAAGGTCTTAACTCTGACAGATCGTCACAACTGAAAATATCTCGAGATTTCAAGATATCAGGTTGATACTTTATTAATGTCTCAAAAACTTTCTCATTGACGTAAGGGGATCTACATGCTATGTCCAGGATGTACATATTCTCTATTTCTTGCATCTCTTTGTTTGTTTCATGTTTATGTTTCTTCTTCAATATGGCGTCGATGAATCGAGATTGTCCATAATATACCGCTAGATGTAAAGCAATTCCTAAATTATCATCCTTTGTTTTTTCAAGAATGGCGGTGAAAAGGGGAAAATTTTGTAGGATAACTGCAGCTTCAACTGGTAAATGATTCTTAAAGAAACAGTTCAAATAACAGTGTTGAGATTTTTTATATCTTGCTAATCCACATAGCTCATGGATAACATTTACAGGTTCTGGAATATCACTCGCAATTATTGCTGACTGCATAAAATGTTCCAAAACTTTCTGCATTACTACTGTTTTTCCGTTCTTTGAAAACATCATCAAATGATACAGAAAGCTGGCTTTGGGTTTTACAACATCCATTATCGACTTGATGATCTTAAAGGAATACTGTTGAATTGCAAAGTCCATAATAGATCTTCCGAGACTATCAGTATCCTTCAAAAGGTTTGGAAAATTCTGAGCTAGTTTCTTCATTGTTGTCATTCTTCCAGCTTTAATAGCACATTCCAGTGGAGTACTGAAAGCTACTTCTTCATGATGCTTGAACTCAAAAGCTCTCAAATGAACATAGATTTCTTGACTTTCAGGATTTCCTTTTCCACAGTGATGCTTTGAGTTACTTTTAATAATATCGCAACACTTTTGACATTTTTTGTATCGCTTAGTTGGACTACTGATCAACTTGGGTACTTTTGAATTAAGTGACCAGAACTTATTCCATGGTTTTTCTTTTTCATTGTCGTACTGAAATGGATCTTCATTCCTATTGAATTCTCGAAAAGGGCGATCATATCTGCAAAAGTTTGTAAAGTTCATTGATTCATTCCACATAATGTTCCTTTCCTCTTGCCTCTGAACTATTTTCTCTCGTTTGTCCTGACTAGCCTGTTCTATTTTCAATTGTTGTATGACGATGTCCTCCAGATCTTCCTCAATTATTGGCAAATAATGAAGGATGTTTTGACCCAACTTGTCAATAGCCTTTAAATTGCACTTACTAGTATATTTCTGAAGAAGGACTCTAACCACCTTCTGCTGATTTCTGTAAATAGCAGTCATCAATGGAGTCTTTCCGCTGTTATCTTGTATCTTAGCATCGACTTGACGATCTGAGTGCAACAACATATTTACTATTATATCATGTCCTTTTTCACAGGCATAGTGCAAAGGGGTAGCACCTCGCCAGTCTGTAGGGTTTGAATTTACGCCCGCTTCCAAAAGCACTTTGACGCATTCACTGTGATTGTTCTGACAAGCTTCGTGCAAAGGCGTTCTTTTCATTTCATCTGATAAGTCGAAAGGTATTCTTAGGGATTTCAGAAGAAGCAATATCTTATGGAGGCCAAGAGATGCCGATTCAAACGTATACCTTTCAGATGCTCCATTTTGGCCACTCAGTAAAGGCAACAGTTTTTCTGCTACAGATTCAACATTTCTGCATTTTTGAAAACCCTTCCGATATCCATCAAATACTTTCTTTAATGATTTCATGATCTTGCAAACTGTGGATTCATAAAGTATTAGGTTACTCCGAATCTCAAAAATAGCTAAACATACCCCATAGTGACAATTTTGTAGAGCTTTTTGGATGCCTTTATTCAGATCCCCTTCCTGTAAACTCTCATCGTAGAGTAGATGCACTTGTTTCACGTTTCCACACTGACAAGCAGAATGAAAAGGTAGGTCACCTTCTATATTTTTCTTACACTTAGGAAAACGCTTTTCTAATAAAACCTCAGTAAGCTGAGGACTCAGTGTGGATGACAAATGTAGCAGGGAACATTCCAACTCTTCCAGCCTTGGATCAAGCGTGTCATAGTCAGGAAGCAACGTTAATAGCCGAAGAGCATGCTTTTCTTTTTTCAACAAAAGCATGAGATAACACAAGTAAAACTGAAGGTGTTTGCTGAGGGAAAGGGTTTCTAGTTTAGAAGCGATATACTCTATATCAGCCTCTTTCTGTAGAAGGAGCAGATCAATGCAGTTGTTTCCTAAGTTATCCACGTCAAGGACATCTGAGTTTAGCTGGAGAAGGTATACTATTACTTCCTTCCTTCTTCTATATAGGGCGCAATGTAATGGGGATTTATCATTCATGTCTTTAGTATATATCTGATCTCTCCCAATGCCATTAATGAGAATTTCACAAGCATCCAATTTTCCATTTTCAGCGGCATAATGCAGCGGTGTTGCATTTCGTTCATCACAAATATCGCATATTTTAGGTGTGTATGGAAGTTTTTGAAGAGCCTCCTCTAATTTCTCTAAGTTTCCACATGCAGCATTTATATGAAGAGATGTCGCTTTTAGCTCTGAAAGACAGAAAAAGTCATTTTGTATTTAACAGATGGTAATATTAACTGATAATTAATCGTTGTTTCAGCTAATTTCAATCATGGTTGATTACCCAAGAGATTTGGTTTCCAGGACATGATATCGGTTGGTATGAAAGAAAATCCCTCCAGAAGGTTTTCACACAACTGTTGATTCAGTTCTTGTGGAGTCCAGTGGCTGACTTTACTCCGCTCGTACAGAAAAATCACACAAGCACACATTACAATGTAGCGCTTTCCATCATAGGAGTGTGCAACCTTAAAAAAAAACAAATCGGGATTCACGGATTTATGATAAAGTAACACGAATATCTCGAAATTCATTTTTATGCAATAAATGCCATACCCTTTTGTACTCTACATCCGGGTATCTAAATTTTTCCATCGGTAATTCCCATTTTGGATTGGACCTGCCCTGATCAACTGAGTTCATTTGAGGAATTTTTGGAAGTATGTCAAAAACGGTTGTCGTCTTCTCGTCTGATCGCAAGATTTCTCTTGTTTTACACAAGAAAATGAACCCTCTTTCGAAGTATTCCTTGAAATAAAGATTAATACTGCGTCGGACATGCGACAATTTATCTTTGGAGTTGACAGAGATATAGTGGTGTGTCAAGGTTTGTTGCGTTCTACTGACAGCTTGGAACTTCACCAGGAGATCTCCACCTTTGTCTCTTGGAGTGACCGGGCGTGAGGAGAACGAGTACAACCCATCCTCGCCATACCCTGGCGCCTTATCAATTACTCTGAAAATAATATTATCTACTCAATCTTTCAACAACTGTGTGAAACAATCATAAAATGCATCTTTTTATGTTCTTGTAGAAATGCCATTTTGACTAGTCACTTTCTTCATATCATAAATAGAATGAATAATTTAAGAATGGTATATTCGGCAACTGCATGATAATTTATTAATTCTTTATACAAACATGTATCGCTTAAACAAAATTTTTATTTATTTAGTACAGTGTTGACAGTTTGATGGTTGTCTTTCATTTTGAACGTTGACACTTAAGTGTTTGGATCCTTCCGGAGAAAAAAAAAATCAGTGGGCTTCCTGCTAACACAGCTTAAAACAATCTAAAATTATCACAAATCTCAGAATAAGATGCTTTTTATGTACACTATTATGTCTGAACCATATATAAAGAACGACACATACCCCATTTCACCTATATCTCCTATCTATCCTGTACCCATATTTGTGTTTCCCCTTCAATGTTGTAAGAATCAAAAATTCCTCACTGCGCATAATCGGCGTCCTCGTTGCCAAGATCTGTATTTTTAAAGCCTGTTAGCACAACAAAAAATGATAATTATTTGATATCTACAGTTAAATCTCTTATTTGGGGCATTATCGATCGACACTCAGACACCCGTGATAACTAATGTGCTTTCTGTGTATTATTTACTTAAAATCTTCCCTGTTCTTACATTTAATTTAGTATCTCCTACAATAGTACATGATGTCCACCCTGTGTATTGTTGTTCGGAAATACACATCCGTGGACTTAATATCTATAGAAGCATTTAAATGGAAGGTTGATAACCATTTTTATGAGCAGTGCATTATTCTCAGATGACTAAGTTTATAGACAATATGTCACTCCTTGTCAGTAGCATTTAAATGCGCTCTTTAATCAGACGCCAATTCATTTTATTTTGATATTCTTACAACTTGTTTATATATGTTCTTTTTTCTCGTCAAAGTGAAAATAAACAGGTTTCAAATCTTGTGGCACAAAAATGATTTCTTGTCTGCTAGACTTGGGCAGATCCACAAAGCTGTTAGATTGATAATGGATCAGTGTAAATAGTCTCACCATATACCACATTGGAGGCATACATGACTGCTAGTCCTAATTTATATTAAAACACCTGAACGTTTTGGAGATATTTAACACAAAAGGTAAGTGAAGTACGTTCTCGTGATATTTTCCAATTACTCATTTAAAATTCTTTAAAAATCTGTTTCTAATATTTGTTTTACACTTCTTAGAGATTGAGTTCTAAAAATCAATGCCTTACATTTTTGTTCCACAGAGTTTGTTAAAGAACAGCTGAATACCTGTTCAAGATATAACTCACCTGGACTAGGTAAGTGTACATGGGGGTTATGTAGTCTTGTGGAGTTTACTCCCAAATCGAAAGCTGTCAAATGGAAACATTTATAACTTAATTCAGTTTCAAACGATGTCAAATATACATTTTTATCAAATGCTGAAACGATAAGACTTAGTTAGAAACATTTGAAATGAATAATGCAATGGTCATTAACATACATTAAGAGTACTCCTGGGTAGTTTTATGTTGCAAAAGACTCAGAGGTATTCAGATACTGAGTTCTTTAATGATGAAACGTTGTAAAATCTCAGTGTCCATGAACAGAAGTAGAAGACGAAGACCCGATAGATACGAGATGACTTTAAAGGAGAGACAACTCTTCGTGGCGGTGGATAAAGGACACACCAAGATGATAGAAATACTGATCTCGCAGGGCGCAAGCGTCAACTGCCGAGCTCGGGTAAGTGCACTCGCCGCCATCTTTGTTTTCAGAACATCGTGACACTTTATAGACAAACATTCCACTTGAGATGAAGAAAAAACATAAATAAATTAGGTTGACTAAACATACAGTAATTAGGAATTCACGTTTTACCTCTGATGAAGCTTACCACAATGATATTGCATAACCGGATTAATAAAACTATGAATTCAAACAAACATCATGCATTGTTTTCAATAATTTCAAGGATGATGGAGCAACACCTTTGATTAAAGCAGCTAAGAATAGAAATCACGTGGTTCAAAAGTTACTCCTACAAAGAGGAGCAGATATCACTTCAAGGGATGCGGTAAGAACCGTTGTCAAACACGTGCTGTACACACCCTGCCCGGTACCTTCTACCAGTATACCCTTCTTCTTAATAGTCTGATCAGATTTTTTTTTCAACATTCAAATGCATTTTAGGAAGGGTTCATCTATAAAGAAAGCTAATAATGCAATTAATTGATTAACGTCCATTATGTACGCAGTCACTCACCCAATTACATACAAGCGCGTTAATATATCCCCCCAACCTTCGTTGCGAGGGGATATTCATTCATTAGAATCCTGATTACCGATAAAATTTTTGTTTATTTAGTTCTCCTGAAACACTGCAATACATTATCAATAATGAAACACGATCAACAGGAATACATGTATATGTTGATGTTTGCTTTTAGTGTCAGATACGTATCTATACGTATATTTATTTTGGAAAATGACTGTGTTCAAAATACGTCTTTAAGTGTACATTAAGAAAAGTCGTATGCTTATCAAATATTAGTATGTACCGGCAGGAGATGCTTGTGCAAAACTGATCATGAATATCTAAGTTATTTTGTAAATGTTTATGAACTGCAATGTTGGTGGCCAGTAAAAATAAATAAATGGACATAAGATTAAAGAGTTAGGAAAAAAATCTATCTTTTATTTTGAAGATAAGTACTTTCGCAGAGCAGTAAGAAAGTTAACACTGTATTTAAGATAATTAGCCTGTATTCATCATACCATTTTTTATCTGGTAAAAGAAAAGTTTTATTTATAATATAGTACTATAGCTTGTATCTCCAAGATCCAAGATGGTAAAATGTGATTTGTATCTCTACCATACAGCTGGGACTGTCGGCGATTCATTACACGGCAGAACCAGGGGACACGGAAACCCTTAAGTTGTTACTGGCTTACCAGTCACCAATAGACACCAGAGATGTGGTAAATATCAGAATTCCATCTTAACACTCCAAACAGTGTAACTTATCATAGCCAGAGATGTGATAAATATCAGACTTCCAACTCTACAAACAATGTAACATCATAGCTAGAAATGTAGTAAATATCAGGTAAATATCAGGTTTTTATCTTAACACTTTCAAAAATGTAACTTATCATAGCCAGAGATGTGGTAAATATCAGACTTCCATCCTAAAACTCCCAACAATGTAATATCATAGCCAGAGATGTGGTAAATATCAGGCTTCCATCCTAACACTCCCAACAATGTAACATCATAGCCAGAGATGTGGTAAATATCAGGCTTCCATCCTAACACTCCCAACAATGTAACATCATAGCCAGATGTGGTAAATATCAGGCTTCCATCCCAACACTCCCAATAATATAACTTATCATAGCCAGAGATGTGGTAAATATCAGGCTTCCATCCTAACACTCCCAACAATGTAACATCATAGCCAGATGTGGTAAATATCAGGCTTCCATCCCAACACTCCCAATAATATAACTTATCATAGCCAGAGATGTGGTAAATATCAGGCTTCCATCCTAACACTCCCAACAATGTAACATCATAGCCAGAGATGTGGTAAATATCAGGCTTCCATCCTTACACTCCCAACAATGTAACATCATAGCCAGATGTGGTTAATATCAGGCTTCCATCCCAACACTCCCCATTATATAACTTATCATAGCCAGAGATGTGGTAAATATCAGGCTTCCATCCTAACACTCCCAACAATGTAACATCATAGCCAGAGATGTGGTAAATAACAGGCTTCCATCCTAACACTCCCAACAATGTAACATCATAGCCAGAGATGTGGTAAATAACAGGCTTCCATCCTAACATTACCAACAATGTAGCTTAACATAACCAGAGATGTGGTAAATATCAAAATTCCATCCTTACACTACTAACAATGTAACATCATAGCAGATAAATTCTAATTTAACTTTTTTTCTTAAAATTTCATTCATATATATATTTAGTGTATTTTAGTAAATTAAAATAAACTTAACGTTGGGTGTCGTCTATTGCCACACTGCAAGAATGTACACGGCGTTATGACGTTTCTCTTGGCACTCATTTTCAGCTCATCCGCAACTAAGATATACGCAAAAAGGAAGGAATAAATTTAGAAATAAATTTTGAACAAAGTTCAAATAATTTAAATACAGCAACTCAAATCAAGACGCTTCATAGCAAAATGGCAGTAAAAATTATGAAAAGGAAGCACATGAGAGGTTTAATGAGATATGCGGATTAACTGAAAATAAGTGCCGAAAAGTAACGTCATAACGACGTCGGTAAAATTCTTGCCGTGCGACGATTGACAAAACCTAATGTTGTGCTTGTCTTAATATTTTGAAAAGTATTTTATATAACGGAATGGATTTTTAAAGTGAAAATCAAAATAAATAGAGGAATTAGTATATGAATTTTCGTTGATAATATTCAAAATTAAAAATTTTGTAGCTTTGTGACATAACAGTTATGATCAACCCTCGTAGTTATCCATACTTTAGATAGAAAAATATAAATGATTATCATAGGAGATACATATATACTACATGTAGTATGCAATATCCTAATTATTAGAAAAAAGTCACCCAGAATTATCATGGTTTTTCTATTCCAGAAGTGTGCTCTATTTGTTTGATGTCAAAGATTGACTAAATCATAAAAATACGAATTAGAATAATGAATATTTAAAAACCCAACTTTTTTATATTTCAAAAGTAGAGAACCATTTTAAAACACCTATGTTACCCAAGCAACATCTATCGTGCAGTTAAATAATGTAAACATGCAAGCTGAAGATTGGAATTATTTTGATGATTTATAAATCAATCAATATTGAAATAATAATAATAAAAAACCCAAAAAGCATGTCATAAAAAATTCTGTATATCTGAGGTTCTTTACGCCTGTAGTGCCTGTACCCGAGGTTCTTTACACCAGTAGTACCTGTACCCGAGGTTCTTTATGTCAGTAGTACCTGTACCCGAGGTTCTTTATGTCAGTAGTACCTGTACCCGAGGTTCTTTATGTCAGTAGTACCTGAACCCGAGGTTCTTTATGCCAGTAGTACCTGTACCCGAGGTTCTTTATGTCAGTAGTACCTGTACCCGAGGTTCTTTATGTCAGTAGTACCTGTACCCGAGGTTCTTTATGTCAGTAGTACCTGTACCCGAGGTTCTTTATGTCAGTAGTACCTGAACCCGAGGTTCTTTATGCCAGTAGTACCTGTACCCGAGGTTCTTTATGTCAGTAGTACCTGAACCCGAGGTTCTTTATGCCAGTAGTACCTGTACCCGAGGTTCTTTATGTCAGTAGTACCTGTACCCGAGGTTCTTTATGCCAGTAGTACCTGTACCC